GTGGGAGCCGCCCCGCGTGGGCGCGGAGCGGGCCTGCAAACCCGCACTTTGTCCGTGGACTTGGCCGCGCCCGGGGGCGGCGCCCACTCGCAGTGCCGAAGCCTAGCGAAAGCAGCTGGAGGAGGCCCGCCCCGCCGCGACCCCACATTCCCCGCAGGCTCGCGTGGGCCGAGGCCCGGCCCCGCCGCCGTGCCGGGAAGGCCCGCGGTCGCGACCTCCGCCGGCGGGCCGTGTGACTGGGTGTCCCTGGGAGCCTGCGGCCGCGCCCTCAGCACTCGGAGCCCGCCTCCTTGTCTGACTCCGTCCCCGGAGTGCGGGTCCCCTAGCGTAGCCTGGGGCTCCCCAGTCCCCCCAGTAGTACCCCCAAATGCACTAAGCGAACCTCAAAAATAGAAGGCTAATGGCAGGGTGGGATTCCAAAAGTGAGCACCCGTTACATGCCCGCCTGGGAGACCTTTACTTTTAAAGTTCTCGAGCCCCAAAAGCAGGGGATGGGAATACAGGGTCCCTCCCAAAATGAGTGTATGCCCACTCACAACGTCATCGTCTTCCACGGGGGGATGAAGCCCTGGAAAGGGTTTAGGTGCTGAGGTGAAGTGGGCCCAGGAAGTGAGGGTGAGGGGTTGCAGGAGGGTGGGGTGGGCTAGGTGCCCTGAACTGGAACCGAGCGAGAACTGCAGATGGGATGTAAGATGTCCTTCCTGAACAGGATGTGGTTCCCGAAGGGACGTTTATGTCACCCCCCACTGCCCACAGACAGTTGACAAATATTTGGTAAGCACCGGCCATGTGCCAGGCATTGCAGGTGCTGGGTGGGGGGCGCCAAGGACACTCCAGCTGATGACTCCTTGCTCGAGGTGATGTTCTCACCTCGGCAGGGATGAGGTGCCACTACTTTCCCTAAGAACCCCAAGTCTGTCATCAGATAGTAAAGCTGGTATAAAGCGTTACCTTCTGGAGGGTTTGAGGAGTGCACTGAAGAAAATATGGGAGTGGCTGCATTGTCTTCAAAATATTTTTATTGATTTCAGAAAAGAAGGGAGAGGCGAGGGAAAAGTTAGAAACATCAATGATGAGGATCATTGATCAGCTGCCTCCTGCATGCCCCCTACTGGGGATCAAGCCCACAACCCAGGCATATGCCCTTGACCAGAATGGAACCTGGGACCCTTCAGACTGCAGGCTGACTCCACTGAGTCAAACTGGCCAGGGCCCAAATTCAATATTTGGAGACTTTCAGTGTAGTGTGAGAGCAAGAATGAGATGTGGGGTGTCACTGAAAACAGAAGCCACACATGAGACACGTTGCCCACCTTCCTAGTTCTGGCCACATAGAGTCCCAGGAGCTCAGGGAGACGGAGACCACCTTTCGGCAGCGTAGTTACACCTCCCTCCCGTGGTGGTGATGAGCTGAGACGCGGACGCCTGGGCGTTTCGCAGGCGGATCCCAAGCACACCTCATTGGTGTGGGCTTCACTTGGTTGCGCTTTGCATATGTGTTCTCATTAACATTGAAGCAAAGACCCTCTACCAACAAAAAGATTGTGACTACTGAAGGCTCATGATGGTTAGCATTTTTGGCAATAAAGTATTTTTAAGTTAAGCTGTGTTTGTTGTTTTTAAGACAGTGCTGTTGCACAGTAGGTAGGCTACGGAACAGTCGTAAACGTGCACCAGGAGCCAACACCTCTGACTCGCTTTATTGTGATGATCACATTATAGCGGTCTGGGACCAGCCTGCAACCTCTCCCAAGCACGCCTTGTAGTAACTCCATTTACTGCTCATCCCCGCACCAAGTGCTTTATCACACTATCCTCACAGCAACTCAGGTCTACCAAAACTGTTTTTTTTTTTTTAATATATTTTATTGATTTTTTACAGAGAGGAAGAGAGAGGTATAGAGAGTTAAAAACATCGATGAGAGAGAATCATCAATCAGCTGCCTCTTGCACACTCCCTACTGGGAATGTGCCTGCAACCAAGGTACATGCTTTTGACTGGAATCGAACCCGGGACCTTTCAGTTGCAGGCCAACGCTCTATCCACTGAGCCACACCGGTTTCGGCAGGTCTACCCAAACTGTCAGGTCCATGTTCCTCTTAGGAGCAGCACAGGTCTCCCTCGGGGGAGATGACGAGGCAGGACGTGGCAGAACCAGAGCTCCTCAGCACATTCGGGTTTGAAGTCGCTCGGCGGTAAGCCCCCTGTTAGGACAGGTTTCCACTTCGAGGCTCCTGGTGTCTGTCTGCCCTAGCTTGGTGGCCGCCAGTGTGATCAGTGTGGACAGATCAATGACCAAGCCAGGAGTTGGCTCTCTCCCTTTACCCCTCGTTCACGACCAGCGGAAAGCCTTCCCTGGCCGCGTCCCACATTGGTGCACGTCTGGTCCATGAGCAGACCAAGCACCCAGAGGTGATACTCCGTGCTGGACCCCGTGCTGGGGGCATGTGTATGTGTACGTGTATGTGTACGTGTATGTGTATGTGTACGTGTACGTGTATATGTCTGAGGGCCTAACATCCCGGGCTCTCAGTCCTGCCTCCCACCGGAACCATGCCTGTCCCGGTCCCAATGAGGCTGGAAGCTGGGAAGCAGGGGAGGGCTGAATCCTACGTCCGGGGACATCTTAGGGAGAGGAGAGACCTGGGGGTGAGGGTTCTGAGGAGTGAAACCACTTCCTGTGCAGCTAGTTCCTGTGTTGACAGAGCTGGAGGGGAGGAGGGGAGGGCGAACATCGGTGGGGGCTGGGGTCTACTGAGGCTCTGGAGGGGGGAAGCAGCGAGTTCTCGCCCACCTAGAAAGCCTCCATTACTGCCGGAGGCGCTTGTCCCAGCCGCTGCTCCCCGGGGAAGAGGTTCAGCAAGCAGCTTGGGTGGGAAAACAGAACTGGAGGAAGTTGACAGGGATGGGCGGGGCCCATGGGGGGCTGACCAGGAACCCAGCTTCCTGCTTAGTACCCAGACATCCAGCCCCTGGCTCACCCCCACCCCTTCCAGCCCCCACTCCCCTCAGGAACCTAGGGTTCCGGCCCTCCTCCAAATCCTAGCTCCCCTCCCCCATCGGTTTCTCCCCTCCAGGGCATGGAGGCTGAGAGACCCCAGGAAGAAGAGGATGGTGAGAAGGTGAGCAGGCCCCGGTGGGGTGGGGGGTGGGGGCTGACCCTGGGGAAGGGAGGGGAAAGGACCTGAGGCAGACACCTACTGACCCTGGACGCAGGGCTAGGAAGGGCTTGGCAGCGGGGTGGGAACAGACAGAGGAAGCAGGCTGCTGGCCTGGCCCGCCCCTGCTCCACGGAACGGCTCTCTCGGCATCAGGGCCCCCGTCAGGATGAGCACGGCTGGCCCCCTGTAAAGACCACCGTTCGACCTTGGCGATCGGCTCCTCCATCCCCTCCTCCAGGGACCCGCCGCACAGGTACCCCACCCGTCCAGGGGGCTCCCTGACTGACCCTGGTGCCTGCATCCCTCCTAATCCTACTGCCAGGGTCCACTCCGCCACGGGCCCTTTCCCACATCCTCCGGACTCCCCCTGTACCTCCTTACCTCCGGCCACAGTCCCTAACCACCTCACTGTCCGTCCCGGTCCCAGTCCCAGTCCCCACCTGCCGACCTCTGAGCCCTCCCCCTACTCGCCCAGCCCTAGGACCCCGCTCGGCCTCCCTGCTCTCCCTGCAGACTGAGCTCCTTCTGGACCTCGTGGCCGAGGCCCAGTCCCGCCGCCTGGAGGAGCAGAGAGCCACCTTCCACGCCCCCGAGGATCCCCCAAACCTAGCCCCAGCCCCAGCCCGGCCCCAGGAGGACAGAGAACAGCTCTACAGCACCATCCTCAGTCACCAGGTGAGACACCCACGCCCCAGGAGGCCAGGCCCAGTTTCCTGGTCTCTTACTCTGTCCCTCCTCCTGCCCCACCCGCCCCTCTCCAGCTCTAGCCCCCCACCCCCACCCAGTCACAGGTGCCCCGTATGCCCCTCTGGCCAGCCCGCCTCCCCTCCTGGCCTGCCCCCCTCCCCTCACACCTCCATCCCTCCATCCCTCCAGTGCCAGCGGATGGAAGCCCAGCGGTCAGAGCCCCCCCTCCCCCCAGGGGGACAGGAGCTCCTGGAGTTGCTGCTGAGAGTTCAGGGTGGGGGTCGAATGGAGGAACAAAGGTCTCGGCCCCCCACTCACACCTGCTGAGATTTGAGCCCCCACCAGCCCCTCCGCATCCCGGGACTCCTCCAAGCGGGGCAGCCCCTGCCAGCCCTCCACCCGGCTGGGCAGGGCGCCCGGGACCGGACCCAGAGAGATCTGCCCGGCGTCCTCGCCCACGTTCCTGGGGACTGAGGGGTGCCAGGCCTGGCAGCCTGGGAACAGGCCAGGCAGGGTGGCATCCGGGCCTCCCGAGTGCGGAGTGCGGAGCCGGAGGCAGTGCGGCCCCTAAACGGCCTGGGGGCGGCGCGCAGGCTGGGCCCTGAGCGCCCGGGACACCGGCCGTCCAGCCGCCGGGCGGACCCGAGGGCTCAGGCCTCCAACCCCGAGACCGACGAGCCCGTCTCCCCGCTCCTTCCCGCCAGGAGGGGCCTCGCCGGGCCCGCCCGCCGCGGCCGTCTGTGTGAATAAAGGTGTTCCCTCCACCGGCCTGTGTGTGGCTGCGGGCCGCCCGCGGGTTCATTAGCTCGTTAAGCGGCGGCGGGAGACCCCTAATCGCCGCCCTCGTCTTAATTAGTGCGCGGGGGGAGCCATCAGCCCGGGCGCCGCGGGGGACCGCGCCCCGGCCGGGCCGGAGCCCGAGCCCACCCCGACCCCGGCCCCCCGGCCCCCGGCCCGGCCCCCGGCCCCGCGTCCCCGCCTCCCGGTCCGCACCTTCCCCTCCCCTCTCTCCTCCAGCCTCCCCTCCTCCCTCCCCCCTCCCCTCCCCCCTCCCCTCCCCCCTCCCCTCCCGCCGCGGAGCCGGCCGGCCCGCCCCGCGCTCCGCCCGCGCCCCGCCCCTCCCCGCTCCCTCCCGCCCTCCGCCCTCCTCCCTCCCTCTCGCTCACACACACCCCCGCCTGGGCCTCCTCTCTCCGGCTCCATTTTCTCCGCCGCCGGGGGCCGGGGTCTCCTGTGGGGCCCAGCCGGCACCCCGGGTCTCCCCTCAGAGCCCGGGTGACCCCCGGGGAGCCGGGGGGCGGGCGGGGGCGGGGCGCAGGAGCAGCGGCCCCGCCGAGTTTGGGGGGAAGTAGCCCGGCGGGGGGAGGGGGCCTCAGGGCCCCCCACTATGGACGAGCGGCTGCTGGGGCCGCCCCCTCCGGGCGGGGGCCGCGGCGGCCTGGGGCTGGTGGCGGGGGAGCCCGGGGGCCCCGGCGAGCCTCCGGGCGGCGGGGACCCCGGCGGGGGCGGCGGGGGCGTCCCGGGGGGCCGAGGGAAGCAGGACATCGGGGACATCCTGCAGCAGATAATGACCATCACGGACCAGAGCCTGGACGAGGCCCAGGCCAAGTGAGTGCCCCCACCCGCCACCCACACAGCAGGAGCCCGGGCGGGCTGCTCTCCGAACCCCAACTCCAGACCCACCTCTCCTCTCCTTGCTCCCGGAACCCCAGATAAGTGACTCCTCTCCTTCGCCCCGCCCTGCACCCTTCAACAGGGAGCCCAGGCGGCCTCACCCTCTCCTCACCTCTCACTGACCCCCAGCCCCCGAACACCTTCCCTCTCCAGAGCCCCCTCCGGCCCCTCCCCGACTCTGCACAGCCCCCGCCGCCTCTGCAGACTGGGGCCTCCGCACCCTCCCAGAGTGCCCACCGCTGCTCTCCACCATGGCCCAGCCCCGTGTCCTCCCTCCCGCCTGCCCCTGCTCAGCCAGGACCCTCCACACACACACCTCTGCCCATCCCTCCACTTCAGCCGGACACCCCAGCTCTGGCTCTTCCCCCAGTCTCCATCGCTCTTTTGAAATCGACCTAGTCACCTTCGTATCTGCAGTCACCCTCAAGTCCCCCCTGCACCTTCTAGACCGGCTCCCCCAGCCCCAGCCGCCCGCGGCCTTCAGCCTGCTGCCTCCACCCCACGGCCCGCTGGGAGCTGCCTCACCCCGGGAACCCCACCCGCTTCACCCCAGCCCCTTCCCACCCCAGCCCCTTCCCACCGGCCCCCTTCCCACCCCAGACCCCTTCCCACCCCAGCCCCTTCCCACCCCAGCCCCTTCCCACCGGCCCCCTTCCCAGGCCCCCTCGCCCTCACGGCCCCTGCATGTTCCCGCCCTGAACTCCGGTTCCTCCCAGGAAGCACGCCCTCAACTGCCACCGCATGAAGCCGGCGCTCTTCAGCGTGCTGTGTGAGATCAAGGAGAAGACCGGTACGTCCCTGGTCCCCGCTCCCGCCGCCTGCCGGCATGGAGCCCGAGCGGGGTCCGGGGTGTGCGGGGCCTGGCGGGGACCAGAGGAGCGGAGGGCGGAGGGCGGCCTGGGGCCGGGGCCCTGAGTCCCCGCTCGCGCTAGGCCTCAGCATCCGAAGCGCCCAGGAGGAGGAGCCGGTGGACCCCCAGCTCATGCGCCTGGACAACATGCTTCTGGCGGAAGGCGTGGCCGGGCCCGAGAAAGGGGGGGGCTCGGCCGCCGCAGCCGCGGCCGCGGCCGCTTCGGGGGGCGGCGTGTCCCCCGACAACTCCATCGAGCACTCGGACTACCGCAGCAAGCTGGCCCAGATCCGCCACATCTACCACTCGGAGCTGGAGAAGTACGAGCAGGTGAGGCCGGCGCGGGCGGGCGGGCGGGCGGGCGGGGCTTCCCGGGGCCCCGGCCACGGGCGCCTCACAGCCCACGGCCCCGCAGGCCTGTAACGAGTTCACCACCCACGTCATGAACCTGCTGAGGGAGCAGAGCCGCACGCGGCCCGTGGCGCCCAAGGAGATGGAGCGGATGGTGAGCATCATCCACCGCAAGTTCAGCGCCATCCAGATGCAGCTCAAGCAGAGCACCTGCGAGGCCGTCATGATCCTGCGCTCCCGCTTCCTGGACGCCAGGTGGGGCCCGGCCCGCCGCACACGGACCCCGGGGTCCCCAGAGCCTGCCGCACACGGGGCCCCGGGCCCAGCCGCACACGGGGCCCCGGGCCCAGCCGCACACGGGGCCCCGGGCCCAGCCGCACACGGGACCCCGGGCCCAGCCGCACACGGACCCCGGGCCCAGCCGCACACGGGGCCCCGGGCCCAGCCGCACACGGGGCCCCGGGCCCAGCCGCACACGGACCCCGGGGTCCCCAGAGCCTGCCGCACACAGGGCCCCGGGCCCAGCCGCACACGGGACCCCGGGGTCCGTGCACACGGGACCCCGGGCCCAGCCGCACACGGGACCCCGGGGTCCGTGCACACGGGACCCCGGGCCCAGCCGCACACGGGGCCCCGGGCCCAGCCGCACACGGACCCCGGGGTCCCCAGAGCCTGCCGCACACAGGGCCCCGGGCCCAGCCGCACACGGGACCCCGGGGTCCGTGCACACGGGACCCCGGGCCCAGCCGCACACGGGACCCCGGGCCCAGCCGCACACGGACCCCGGGGTCCCCAGAGCCTGCCGCACACAGGGCCCCGGGCCCAGCCGCACACGGGACCCCGGGGTCCGTGCACACGGGACCCCGGGCCCAGCCGCACACGGGACCCCGGGCCCAGCCGCACACGGACCCCGGGGTCCCCAGAGCCTGCCGCACACAGGGCCCCGGGCCCAGCTGCACACGGGACCCCGGGGTCCGTGCACACGGGACCCCGGGCCCAGCCGCACACGGGACCCCGGGCCCCGCCGCACACGGGGCCCCGGGCCCAGCCGCACACGGGACCCCGGGCCCAGCCGCACACGGGACCCCGGGCCCAGCCGCACACGGGACCCCGGGCCCAGCCGCACACGGGGCCCCGGGCCCAGCCGCACACGGGACCCCGGGCCCAGCCGCACACGGACCCCGGGCCCCGCCGCACACGGGGCCCCGGGCCCAGCCGCACACGGGGCCCCGGGCCCAGCCGCACACGGACCCCGGGGTCCCCAGAGCCTGCCGCACACAGGGCCCCGGGCCCAGCCGCACACGGGACCCCGGGGTCCGTGCACACGGGACCCCGGGCCCAGCCGCACACGGGACCCCGGGGTCCGTGCACACGGGACCCCGGGCCCAGCCGCACACGGGGCCCCGGGCCCAGCCGCACACGGACCCCGGGGTCCCCAGAGCCTGCCGCACACAGGGCCCCGGGCCCAGCCGCACACGGGACCCCGGGGTCCGTGCACACGGGACCCCGGGCCCAGCCGCACACGGGACCCCGGGCCCAGCCGCACACGGACCCCGGGGTCCCCAGAGCCTGCCGCACACAGGGCCCCGGGCCCAGCCGCACACGGGACCCCGGGGTCCGTGCACACGGGACCCCGGGCCCAGCCGCACACGGGACCCCGGGCCCAGCCGCACACGGACCCCGGGGTCCCCAGAGCCTGCCGCACACAGGGCCCCGGGCCCAGCTGCACACGGGACCCCGGGGTCCGTGCACACGGGACCCCGGGCCCAGCCGCACACGGGACCCCGGGCCCAGCCGCACACGGGGCCCCGGGCCCAGCCGCACACGGGACCCCGGGCCCAGCCGCACACGGGACCCCGGGCCCAGCCGCACACGGGACCCCGGGCCCAGCCCCACAAGGGGCCCCGGGCCCAGCCGCACACGGGACCCCGGGCCCAGCCGCACACGGGACCCCGGGGTCCGTGCACACGGGACCCCGGGCCCAGCCGCACACGGGACCCCGGGCCCAGCCGCACACGGACCCCGGGCCCAGCCGCACACGGGGCCCCGGGCCCAGCCGCACACGGGGCCCCGGGCCCAGTGCACACGGGACCCCCGGGCCCAGTGCACACGGGGCCCCGGGCCCAGCGCACACGGGACCCCGGGCCCAGCGCACACGGGACCCCGGGCCCAGCCGCACACGGGACCCCGGGCCCAGCCGCACACGGGGCCCCGGGCCCAGCCGCACACGGGACCCCCGGGCCCAGCCACACACGGTGCCCCGGGCCCAGTGCACACGGGACCCCCGGGCCCAGCCACACACGGGGCCCCGGGCCCAGTGCACACGGGACCCCCGGGGCCCCGGGCCCAGCCCCACACGGGGCCCCGGGCCCAGCCGCATATGGGACCCCGGGGCCCGCCGCACGGAGAGCCTGCGGGCCCAGCCGCCCTCAGCGCCCTCTCCTCCTCCGTAGGCGGAAACGCCGCAACTTCAGCAAGCAGGCCACCGAGGTCCTGAACGAGTACTTCTACTCCCACCTGAGCAACCCGTACCCCAGCGAGGAGGCCAAGGAGGAGCTGGCCAAGAAGTGCGGCATCACCGTGTCCCAGGTGCGGGGCAGCGGGGCCGCCGCCCAGGGCCGGAGCGAAGCCCTCCGCTGACCCCCTCTGCCCGCCCCAGGTCTCCAACTGGTTTGGCAACAAGCGGATTCGCTACAAGAAGAACATCGGGAAGTTTCAAGAGGAGGCCAACATCTACGCGGTGAAGACCGCCGTATCCGTCACCCAGGGGGGCCACAGCCGCACCAGCTCCCCGACACCCCCTTCCTCTGCAGGTGCCCTGGGCCAGCCGGCTGGCTGTTTGCATGCTTCCTGCTTCTGTTCCCGCTTCCTCTCGAGGCAGGACCAGGGCGCAGGGCGCAGGGTGGGGGCCGCTGGGGGTGAGACCAGCTGAGGCGGCGGGACGTGGGGACAGGCCCCTCCGGCAGTCCCGGCCCCAGCGCGGGGCCCGAGCGGAGCTGGCGGCCGTCGTGCGCGTGGCGCCCCACAGCTCGTTCCGAGGGCTTGTTGGAAACGGGGGTGTCTCCCTCTGCCACAGGCTGTCACCGTCCCTAATTCCTTCTCTGCTCCCCAAGGCTCTGGCGGCTCTTTCAATCTCTCAGGATCCGGAGACATGTTTCTGGGGATGCCCGGGCTCAACGGAGACTCCTACTCCGCCTCCCAGGTCAGTGCGCGCCCGGAGGGCTGCCCGCCGGGTCCCTCCAGCGCCCAGACGCTCCTCGGAGGCGCTCACCGCCTCGCCGCCTCCGCTCCGCAGGTGGAGTCCCTCCGGCACTCGATGGGCCCAGGGGGCTACGGAGAGAGCCTCGGGGGCGGCCAGATGTACAGCCCCCGGGAGATGAGGGTGAGTGGAGCCTGCAGGCCTCCCCCGCCCCCGGACGGTGCCCTGCCCGCAGCACTGCCCCACACTGGGTTCAGAGCCTCACCCGACTGTGTCTTCCAGGCAAACGGCGGCTGGCAGGAGGCTGTGACCCCGTCCTCGGTGACGTCCCCGACGGAGGGACCAGGGAGCGTTCACTCTGACACTTCCAACTGACCCCCCTCAGGGCCCCGGGGTGGGGCTCACGAGGTGACGGCGAGAGGACAGAGGCATCCAGAGGACACGCCCAGACACAGGAGAAGCACAAGATGGAGAAGGGCAAATGGGCGCCCTGCCCAGCCGGCTCAGTGCTGGGGTTGCTGACTACATGGCAAGGAGAAGGGGTCCCCTAAGGGGAAGGTGGAGTCTGTGTCCCGTTTTCCCTTCTTTTCAATCTTTTTCTCTCCCCGTTTCTTACACAGAAACACACCCAGAACCCTCTTTTAGATCCTCTCTCACAGACACATACACTGTTGTTTCTCTCCGACACACACGGCTATTCTGTCTCTGTCATACATACACACCCATTCCCTCCCCCCCCACTCTCTCTCTCTCTCCACCCGTTCTCCCTCCCCCACCCCTTATCTGCTCTGGGATCTGTGGAGACGCCAGCCTTGCCCTACCTACCAGAGATGCCAAAAATGGGGACACAACTTCTGGACAGATGACCTGGCCGTGCCCCGGGCCTCCCCCCTCCAGACGGCTTATTACCTCATATGCAGCTCATCTTAAACCAATAGAATTGCTCGGTGAACGAGAGTGTCTGACTCAGATATCTACCTCGGAGGGAGTTTCTGCTACTTTAGGGAATTGGGAATTGTTAACTGGGTTTGGGGTCCAACTTTTTTTTTTTTTTTTTTTTTAAGGAAAAAAAAATCCCTGGGCTCCATCTGTATTTTGGGGGTGTTTTGTTGTTGTTGGTTCTTAATTTTTAATTGAGTTTGGGGAAGTAGATGTTTTATATGTTGATTTTTTTTTTTTTACCTTAATCACTGGCTTTCCCATATTCGGGGAGACAGCAAAGGGGACATGATAAGAGAAAGGGGGACAGTGGGACCGGTGAGGGCCGGCTGGCTCATCCAGAGTACTATTCAATACATTTAGCAGCGCCAAGCCCCCCCTCACAGCCCTCGGTGTCCTCTGCTCTAAGGCCCAGGGGCACTCCCTGGCTGGGCCGCTCCCCTGCGCTTGGTGTGGGCAGCGGGCTTGGGTGCTGGCCTGCGCTCCCTCAGCCCGTGGGCAGGGCTGGGCACAGCCGTTGGGAGGCAGTGCCACCTTCCCCTGTGACGCCTTTTCTCACCGTGCAGCTGGAGGGGAGAGGGGGGACGGGTCATTGTGAAACAAGTGTGAGTTGGGGAGCTTGTGTGTGTATCTCCCTCAGTTTCCCCAGAAATGAGGTGTCTTTGTTCTCAGTCCAAAATCCTGAGGGTGGGGGGAGAGGCTGCAAGAAGCCAGATACAGAGGGAGGCCAAGTCTCTGCCGCCCCATCCTCGGCCCTGAACCCCTCCAACATCGTCAGGATCTGACTGTCACCGTGGGAACCCGCCCGGCAAAGATCGGCAGACTGGGCAGGCTGGGACGGATGGGAAGGGGGGAGGCGTGGGCACGGGCTGGGCAGTTCTCTCCTCACTTGTAAACTTATAGTTTCGCAAAAAAAAAAAAAAAAAAGCAGTTTTAAATAAAGAAATTTTCCCCCTGGGTTTAGTTGAGAATTATTTTCAAAAACGTAAACTCCAGGAAGAAAACATTTCTCTCTTCATAAAAGCCCGAAAGGGTTTCCCCGAGTCCACCAGCCTTGCCCTCCGCACCCAGGCCCCATGTCTCAGCCGGGCCTCCTGCGTGGGGGACAGCCTGGCCGGAACCGTTGGCCTGGAGCCGTGTCCGCAGATGGCTCCGGTGGCCACCACGGCCTCAGGTGGTCAGGTTGGGGCCTGAGGGCCTGAGACCCTAGAAGATGCACGCCCCACCCCCACAGATGTGGCAGCGCCAGGGTGGGGTGATCACCCTTCTAGCATCTATCTGAAGGACTCTTAGCCGAGAGTCACAAATTCCTAGCATTCCCGGTGCCAGGTCAGGACCAGGAGAGGGGGCAGGGGAGCGGGTACAGGCCCCACCTAGGGCAGAGGCCACAGCAGTGAGAGGCAGACGGAGCCAGGAGCCTGGACGGGAGGCAGGATGGTGGCAGGGGCTGTGGCCGGAGCCTGGGTGCTGGCCCTCAGTCTGTGGGGTGAGCCACTGCCCCCGCCTGTGGGAGGCACTCGGCCCTCCCAGTCTCCCCGGACCCCCACGCCCCTCCAGCGCCCTCGCCCCCGTGCCAGGTTTGCCAGCCGCCCCCTCCAGCCCCTCTACCTGCTGCTGTCTCCCAGGGGCAGGGGCCGTGGCGGGCTGTCAGAACGTCACGGCCGCGATCGGGAAGCCGCTGGTGCTCCGCTGTAAGGGTGCTCCCCGGAAGCCACCCCAGCAGCTGGAATGGAGACTGGTGAGTGGGGCTCCGGGGCAGCCTCCCACCCACCCCCCGAGCCCTCCCCGGAGGGCTGGCGCTAGCCGGGCCTCTCTGTCCCCAGCACACAGGCAGGACGGAGGCCTGGAAGGTCCTGTCTCCCCAGGGAGGCTCCTGGGACAGCGTGGCTCGAGTCCTCCCCAACGGCTCCCTCCTCCTGCCGGCGGTGGGGGTCCCCGACGAGGGGACTTTCCGGTGCCGGGCGGTGAGCCGCAAAGGAAAGGAGATCAAGTCCAACTACCAAGTCCGAGTCTACCGTAAGGCTCCGGCCCTCCTTCCCCAGGCCTCCTTCCAGGAGAGCCTTCCACCCAGTGTGCGCTGCCCGCCTCCCTGGCAGTGGAGGGTCTTCAACGCCCAGCTTTGATTGGGTTTCCCCCCGCAGAGATCCCCGGGAAGCCCGAGATCGTGGACCCCGCCTCTGAGCTCCAGGCCGGCGTCCCCAACAAGGTAGTGGGAGGAAAGGGGAGGAGAGAGCGGGGCGGACAGCCGGGCGGCTGGGTGCGGGTATGGCGTCTCACTTTCAAAGGTGATGAGGTCACTTTTTAAAAAATATATTTTATTAATTTCCCACAGAGAGGAAAGGAGAGGGACAGAGAGCTATAAACGTCGATGAGAGAGAATCATCCATCAGCTGCCTCCTGCACACCCCCTACTGGGGATGTGCCAGCAACCAATGTACATGCCCTTGACCGGAATCGAACCTGGGACCTTCCAGTCCGCAGGCCGACGCTCTATCCACTGAGCCACACCGGTTCCGGCTGATGAGGTCACTCTTTCCCCAGGTGGGGACGTGTGTGTCCGAGGGGGGCTACCCCGCAGGGACTCTCAGCTGGCACTTAGATGGGAAACCCCTGGTGCCCGATGGCAAAGGTGAGTCTGTTTCCCTGCTAGCTGCCTTTCTCCTGGTCCCGCCCCGCACACTGAGGGCCACCGCGCCTTCTCCCTCCCCCTCAGGCGTGTCCGTGAAGGAAGAGAGCAGGAGACACCCCGAGACAGGGCTTTTCACGCTGCAGTCAGAGCTGACGGTGACCCCAGCGCAGGGGGCAGCGCCCCGCCCCACCTTCTCCTGCAGCTTCCGCCCCGGCCGGCCCCGGCGCAGAGCCCTGCACACAGCCCCCCTCCAGCTCAGCGTCCAGGGCGAGCCCGCAGGTGGGTGAGTGCTTCGGAGGTGTGGCCACGGGCCCGCACAGCCGTGTAACGCTGCCTCCCCCGCCCAGCCCCGGAGCCGGGGCCGCAGGTCCAACTGGTGGTGGAGCCGGAAGGCGGAGCAGTAGCTCCCGGTGGCACTGTGACCCTGACCTGTGAGGCCTCCGCCCAGCCCCCTCCTCAAATCCACTGGGTCAAGGACGTGAGTGTCGTGGGGAGGGGCTGGGAGGAGAGAGGCCTAACTGGCAACTGGGAGGGCAGGGAGCCCAGGGAGCTGGGAAGAAGGGTGCCTGAGGATGTGGACCCAGACAGGAGATGGGATGTGTAATGGCCTCCTGTCCCCCTCCCCCTACCCAGGGCACCCCCCTACCCCATCCCCCCAGCCCAGTGCTGCTCCTCCCTGAGGTAGGGCCTCAAGATCAAGGAGTCTACAGCTGTGTGGCCACCCACCCCAGCCACGGGCCCCAGGAGAGCCGTGCTGTCAGCATCAGCCTCATCGGTGAGGAGACCATTACTGCTCCGTCTGGCACTGTCCCCAAGAGCCACCCCATGCCACCCCGTTCACCCACACCCGGCCTCGGCCACCCCAGACCCCACCAAGAGGGCAGCCCTGTCCTCTCCCCACTCGGAGCTAAAACAAGGAAACACCCACTTGATGGTCCCCTCGCGGCCTGCCGCCTTCCTTTCTGATGCTCCAACTTTGTCTTCCAGAAACGGGCGAGGAGGGGCCTGCCGCAGGTGAGGGGCTGGAGGTCAGAGGAAGACGGACCCCAATGTGAGTGGGGGATGGTCAACAGTGGGGGCTGGGCCTCACCCCTCCCATTTCCCCACAGGCTCTGTGGGAGGGCCTGGGCTGGGAACCATAGCCCTGGCCCTGGGCATCCTGGGAGGCCTGGGGGCAGCCGCCCTGCTCATTGGGGTCATCGTGTGGCAAAGGCGCCGCCGCCGAGGAGAGGAGAGGTGAGTGGAGAAGCTGGGCACGGGGGCTTGGGGGCTTGGGCGTCCAGGCGGTGGGTGAGGCGGGGGGAGGGCCAGGCCCCATGCAGAGCGCTCCCCTCCTCCCCAGGAAGGCCCCGGACAACCAGGAGGAGGAGGAGGAGGAGCGTGCAGAGCTCAACCAGTCCCAGGAGCCCGATGCAGTCGAGGGCAGTGCAGGAGGGCCTTGAGGGGCCCCCGGCCACCCCTTCCCTCACTCCCTTTTCTGTTCCCCACACTGTTTTGGCCCCAGACCATTTCTCCCTGTCTAACCTCCACTCACCTCGCCTCACGTCCTTTCACAACCAGAGCCTGCCACAAACAGCGATGAGTAAACACCCCGCGTAACCTTGCTCCCTTTGCCTGTGTGTGTGTGTGTGTGTGTGTGTGTGTGTGTGTGAGAGAGAGAGAGACACGCTCACCCATACTGCCCTGAGAACGTCCCCACCACACCACACTCACTCAAAGTGGGGTTGTCCGCCTGGGACGGAGGGGAGGAAGGACAAAGGCGGGCAGAGTTCCCATCAATAATCTTGTTTATTGAACGTGTGATAAAGGAGTCAGGAGGGGGAGCACTTAGTCAGAACCCACAGTAGGTCCTGGGGAGAGGAAATTAAATTAAATCAAGGGGGAGGTCAGGGAGAGTCAGAGGGAGCCTTGCCCACCTTTCAAAATCAAATCAAAGAAACGGGGGACGCACGGGATGAGGGAAGAGGAGAAACAGACCTTCTCTTCAGTCCCTCTCCCCGCGCTGGAGGGGCTGCGCGGAGGTGCAGTGAGAGCGGCCCCAGGCGGCCCCTCTGTCCGGCCGCCCCTCCGTCCCCCGTCCACCCGGGGCCCCGCGGGCAGCGCGCTCCCCACCCCGCCCGGAGAGTGGCCCACGGAAGTGGAGGGGCTGGGCGAGGGCCCAGGCGTGAGGAAGGGTCAGCGGGGACCCCAATACTGATTCTCCTCTGGCTGGAGGTGGGCAGAAAGGAGACACGGCTCAAATACTGAGCAGCCAGAAAAAGAAGAAAATGGCGAGAAACAGGAAGAGAGAGTCCTGCCAGCTGGAGGCCGGGTGGCCCTGTCCCAGATCCGCACCTGGAGGAGAAAGGAGGCTGAGGCAGAGCACCCTCTCCGGGAGGGGGGGGGGGGGCGGGCGGGCGGGAGGGCTTGGGGCTCCCCGGCAGGGGCTAGGATGGCTCGCACCTGCACCGCGGCGGAATGGGTCGTGGGCGTTGAAGACGGTGGTGAAAAATCCGAAGGGAAAGGCGCCCACGCCGAACGAGAAGTGAAAGGCCCCGGGATCGCCGAACGGCTGGAAGCCCTGCGGGGGCAGAGGGAGCCGGGTGAGCTGCCTGAGGCTTTGGCAAGGAAGGGACCCGTCAGACCAGACTCACCCCTCTGCTCTCCGGAGCTGGTCGCTGGCCCTGGGGGCGGGGGGGCGTTTTCAACCTGAGGAAGGAGAGAGGGACATCAACATGAAATGTCCCTCTGCTTCCACACCCTCCCGCCTTCCCTGGCACCCGCCCCCTCTCACCTGGGATCCTGGGGCTTCTGGCTCCCCCGCCCGTAAAGGGGGACCACCTTCTCTCTGCTGATGCCAGCTTTACACACTGGGCACTCCTGCCGCTCTGGCCGCGTCTCCAGCCACTGGGGGGAAAATGAAGTGGTTTCCAGTATGCAGCAGGTCCGCCAGCTCCTCAGACCTCCCATTTCCCTCGTCATCTCTTCTGAGTACGCACCTGATGAAGACAGGGCCAACTGGATGGGGGGAAAAAAAAGGTCAAACTAGCTACAGGAAGGAGTCACAGACCCGACCTCCGAGCCCCATCTCGCCCCCAATTCCCAAGCATCACCGGCTGTTTCTCTTCGTATGGTCTGCCCCCTCTGCCGTGCCAGCCAGCGAGGCCTTCCTGCTTTTCTAATCTTCCAACGCAAAGTTTCATCCCCCCCCGCCACCCCACACACACTCACCCCCTCCCTTCTCCCTTTGACTTAGTTTTCAACTACCCCTTTCCAGATCTCTTTCAGTCCCAGCCCCATCCTTGCCCACACCCATCACTCCCCAACCCAAACCTAATTCGCCCCACCCGCCCCACTCCTTTTCCTCTCTCCCAGGCACATGAAGTCCCTGTTGCCACAACCCTCCAACCTCTCACGCTGTCCCTCCAAGTGCCCTTGTCCCCAGGGCATACCAGCCCGCCCCTGACATAGCTCGCCGGAATGTGGTCCCACATTCCCTAGTCTCCCCCACTCAACCAATGCCTCTCCTACCCGTTGGGTCTAATGCGTTTCCACCTGCATAGCTACGACCCCTCTCTTATCTGGGGTAAAGAGGCTCGGGTCTCCCCTATACAGATGTGCGCTCCACCCTCGCCCCGTTTCTCCAGATCACACCACTCGCTCCCGCTCCTAGCTCCTGCGCCTCTGCTTTTCAGTCTGGTCGTACAGATGAGCCCCCCACACACCCGGAAAGACGTACGCTCCCTCCTCCGGGCTCATCTATGGGGAGGTGCCCTCCGATTATCCGTGTGATTTGTGATCCCCCGCCCCCAGCCCGCCCGTGCGGAGGTGAGCCCCACTCCTCTCGCCCGCTGCCCGCTTCTCACCAGTACAGGTGGCCACACATACTGATCACAGCCTCCCGAGCCGTCTCCAGACATATATTACATTCGAAGGTGGCGCCCGCCCCGCCCCGCTCGCAGTTTGGCCCTTCGGGGCCCCCATCCTCCTCCTCCGCTGCTGCCATGGCCCGTTCGGTTTCGCCCCCACAAACCCTTAAGTCCCCGCAAACACACAAATACAAGCCAACAAACAAGAGACCGCCTCCCGCTCACGATCATTGGGGAGGCCTAAAGGTGTTTTCATCGCGATTGGTCTGAGTGCCTGCCAATCACTCAGGATGCGCCATAAAGGATTGGTCCGGAGGCGGGGGAGGAAGAGGTTTGCGCGGCCTGCCCTTGCCCTATGACTATTGGCTCATGCAGTCGCCGTCGCTGGCGTGCTCTGCCATTCGCCCGCCGCCGGGCCAAGGGAAGCTTTATTGGTGTGGGTGGCTGCCAGTCATGTCCAAAGGCCAGAAGCAATTGGTTCGGGACTGCCCTTGCTTTCCTTTCCTTCCTCTTTCTCAGAAGGTCCGGACTCCTATTGGACTTTGGAGCGTATGACTCCACGGCAATTGACTGGCTGGGCTCGACGGAAACTGGTGATTAGGCAGTGCGCGTGCGCAGCAGGCGGCGGGAAGGGGTGGACCAATCCCGGGAGCGCTGAGCTTTCTGCGGGCCCGCCCTGCACCTCTATCTCGTCGTCATGGCGACTGCTCTACAATTGGCTGGGTTCGGGTCCAAAGGATTCGGCTCAGCCTCCTCCGACTGCTCGGGCTGCGGCATCCCTCGCCCGATTGGCCCGTTTCCTCCGCCCCTAATTGGCCGAGATCGGGAGAGACGGCGAAGAGCTCAGGAAAAAGGGCAAAACGGGGGTCGCAGGGTTCAAAATGGCTCCGGCCTCCTTCGGTGACGTAGGGAACAAAACTTGGGGCCGCCCCTCCCTCTCAGTGAAGAATGGGGAGCCGGCCTTAGCCCGACGCCGGGATGGTGCGAGCCTCGACCCGCGGCGCTGGTGTTAACGGCCTCCCGCGGCTGGACTCGGCCCGCCCTGTAGGTCCCCCGGGGCAGAACCGAAGCCAGACCCTGTGTAAAGGGCGGCAGACCGCTGGCCCGCCCCGGCCTCGGCCTCCGCGGCGAGGCGCCCAGTCCCCTTCGGAGCGGCTGCGGGGCCGGGCGCCCCTGAAGGCGACCTGGGCCCGCCCCGCCCGCCGTGGGAGATGCCGGGCCGCGGGCCTCCCGGGGCCTTTGTTCCGCAGTCAGTGACCCTCAGGGCGGCCCGGGGAGCGGGTTTCGGAAACCCGGGCGCCAGGCCTGGGCGTCGTCCTCCGGGCGTGCGGGCCGCTCGGCGGGGCGGGGCGGCGGGCGCCTGATAAGCGCGGCGGGCGGCGGAGACCGAGGAGGAGGCAGATAGGATGATCCTGGTAAAGGGACTGCGGGGCACGGGCTGGGCGCCGCGCTCACACACGCCTTCAGAGTTGAGGAGGCGTGCCTGTCCCAGAGGAAACCAGCATCCCCCGCCTCCAAAAGCAGCCCAGTGCCCGGTCCCGAGTGAAGATAGGTGCGCCCGGCTGCGCGGGGAGACGGAGGCCCGAGAGCTGAGGCGGCGGCGCGGGGAGGCGGGCCCTCCCCCGGGAAGAGGGCGGCGGGAGGAGGGAGCGGGGAGGGGGAGGAGGGAGGGGACAAAGAGACCCCGCTGGGGGCCGGGTGAGGTGAGGCCAGAGGATGGAGCCCTGAGGGACGGGGGAGGCTCGGGCTCGGCGTCTAGGTCCGTCATGAATCTTTGGAATTGAATGGGGACCAGAAGGGGCCTCGGAGAGGAGCTGCGGGAACGGGCTGCAGCCGGGGGCCGCGGAGGAAGGCGGCACCGGGGAGGGTGGAGGAGAGCCGCGGACGGGAGAAGGGGCGAGCGCAGCCCGCGGGGACGCCGCCGAGGAGGTGATGGAGGAGGATGCGCTGCAGGCCCGGCCCAGCCCGCCGCGGGGCCGCTAGCGGGAGGAGACGCCCGGGTGCCTGGGAGGCGATTGGCAAAACAGGCCGCCCATCACCGCCCCCCACTTCCTTTCCGGCCCCGGAAACCGGCGGCGTCGGGGGTGGGGGGATAGCGGCAGCAGCAACCCAGCCCTCGGAGACAGCAGGAAGGGTGGGAGGGAGCTGGGGGCCAGCCCCCACCATTCCTGCCGCCATGGGCCCTGCCTCCCACTCTCGCCTCCCCTCCACCGGCCGGGGCTAGGATACCCCCAAGCCCGTCGCCCCCTTGGCGCCGACACCCCGAACGAGGCAGAGACACAGCCGCCCGCCGCCTCCGCTGCCGCAGCCTGGCCGGGGAGGGGGCCGGCCCCCCAGGCTCCCCTCCCCACTGAGGTGGGGGCAGGAAGGGAGGGGAGGGGAGGGGGTGCCGGAGGCACCGGGAGGAGAGGATGGGGCTGGGAGAGGGTTGCTGGGAAGAGGAGAGCCGCAGGGGGAGAGGGTTTCTGGGGGAAGGGAGGGGGGACCTGAGGGGGAGGAAGGATGGAAGAGGGAGAATTGGAGGCGCTGCGAGTCGTGGGAAGGGTGTGGACAGGGAGTCCTGGGCAGGGAATTCCTGCGCTCCCCAATCCCAATTCCTTTCCTTGCCCTTTGGCCCCACTTGATTCTTGGAGGGTTGGGGCTGGGAGGAGGCCGCTATGCTATGGCCCTCCCTCCCTCAGCAGAATTTGCTTCCCAGGAATGCCCTCAGACTGGTCTCCCATCAGGCGCAGGGCCTCTTGCTCCCCTGGCTTTTCCGCTGCTCCCCTCGGACCCGGGTGTTTCTGGGTTGAATGTGTACCGTGCACTGTATGGCTTGTGTGCAGCTAGGTTGTCCCGTGCTCCCCGCGGGCTGTGAAGAAGTGCTGTTATTTCCTGTCAGAATTGCCCATTCTCATCTTAGTTCATGTCTCACGTCTAGTCTCCACATGTTCAGGTGTGAGTTTTCATGTACATATTGCATCTATTATTGGCTTCATGTTTCTTGCACATAAACTTGGGCATGTAGAGATTATACCTTGTTTTGGGGGGCTCACATGTGCCGTCCGTGTTCCCATCATATGCAGCGGTCTTCATGTGTGGGATCCATGGCTAACCTGACGAGCACACGCTCCTTTCATAATCCGGTTGGCCTCTTTGCTGTGTATATTTTCCCTGTCAGGGTTTACTTTACACATATCGTGCTCCTTCATATGTTGTGCTGATTTGACATGTCCAACATGCTATGGTCACACATACTATTAATTATTTCTTAATTTTACTGGCATTATGTTTTGGGAGTCAGTGCTCGTTAACCCATTTGGCGCTCTGTTGTGTTTATCAATCTTGGGTATTCCTGCTCCAGAGAGGATCTTGTAATATTACTATGCATATTAGAGGGTAACGGGGCCTCCATCTCCCCAAAGAGCCACGTCCAGGTGCCTTACCTGCTGCCTTCTCTGGCCTGTGTCGCTTCCTGCACATGATCTCTCTGGGGGCTGTGTGCGTGGTCCGTGGAGCTGTGTCGCCCCAGTCAGCCCTGCTGTGCACATCATCTGTCCCCGCTCTGCACTGTTGGCATGTATTTGGTGACAGCAGCATCTTTCCCGTGGCATGTTAATCCCCATTCTGGATGTTTCTCTCGTGTGTGTGTGTGTGTGTGTGTGTGTGTGATGGTATGTGCCATCCTGATGGTTGCCACTCTGTGCTTTCATTGTGGCCGGGTGTCACATGGCTTGGTGTGCCCACTGCTTTCTCGGTGACTTCTTTTCATAGCTAACATCCTCAGGAGGGTAGCTAGCTTACTCATGCTCAGGCTCATGGTGTGTTCAGCAATGTTTATGAGTGCCTTCTCTGCCTCCTCCTGGCCCGGGCATCGGGGATAAGACAGAGTGGCTGTCCTCAAGCTGCTTCCAGACTAGCGAGGGAGCAGGCAGTGAGCAGGGGCCGCGGTTGAAGGTGAGTGGTTCTCACGCTCACCGGGAAGGCCTGCTCAAGCACAGATCAATGGGCCCAGCACCCAGGGCTTCTGACCAGGAGATCTGGGGTGAAGTCCAACAAGTTGCATTTCCAACCTTTGAGAACCAGTGATTAGGATCAAAGGGTAAAGAGAAGTCAGGCCTCGCAGGCTTCAGAAAGACCTCCAGCTCACGGCACAGCTGAGGGAGGCAGTGACGGGGTGGAAGGCATCCCAGCCAAAAGGCAGAAGCCTGGAACGTCCTGGCGTGTGAGGAGCTGAAGAAAATCAGTTCGGAGGAAAAGGCGTTTGTGGGCGTGTGTCCAAGAAGTAAGCAGAAGTCAACTTGTCCAGAAGGGCCTTTAGGCAGGACAGGAAAAGGCCCAGCTGTGTGTGACAGAATCTGGTTGCCCCGTGGAAGGGGGATTGAAGAGGAGGAGGGATTGAACAGGAGGAGGATTGAAGGGTTGGGAGCCTGTTGCAAAAGTCCCGCTGAGAAACCCCTGTCCACACTCGCAGGGGCGTGGGCTGGGGGCGCTGAGGCTGCCATTCCAGAGCTGGCATCTCCTCTCCTCCACGGCCTGCTGCCTTCGCTCTGGGCCTGGGCTGGCCTTTGAGCACAGCCTTCCTGTCCTGGGAGGGAATGTCTTTGGCCGTGACAGTATTTACTGGAACTCCGTTTTTTGGAACTGGGACCCTGCCCCCACAGTGGGACAGCTGCGGGGAGGAAGAAGGAAGAGCCCAGGAGGCAGGTCCTGGGCGCCCGTCCGTCTTCCTCTTCCAGGGAAGTGGCGTGATGTCCCTTGTACTCTGCCCTCTTCTCTCTCTGTGAGGCCTTCCCCTCTGTGCGTGCCCGGCCAGGCTGCTGGAGGGCGGGAAGGAGTGGTGGGATTCGCTTGCCTGTCGGTGGAGGTAGGATCGATGGGTGTAGTGATTCCTGGTCCGTCAATGGCTTTATCTGGAATGGGAGGCCGTGCGGGTGGAGAGGGATATTCTAGGTATGCATTCCCATCCTTCATCCGTCCCTGATGGGAGTGTGAGTGTGTGTGTGTGTGTGTGTGTGTGTGAGTGTGAGTGTGTGTGTATGCGCGCGCCGGGCGTCTTGTGTGTCTGTTGCCTGCGTGACAGAGCCTTCATTCTTGTCAGCCAGCCTTGAGAATGTCTGTGGGTGTTGGAGACTTTCGCTGTGGCTGCTGTGTGCACCTGGGTAAGATGCACACAGATGGCGGGAGCTGAGTGGTGAGGGGCACGGCTGCTTAGGTTAAAGCTAGGAAGTGCCTCTCAAGTAAGTTACTGAACTTTTCTGGCCTGTTTCCTATAACATGTAAACTTTGTGGCTTAACGTAGTGTATAGTATATGTAAACCAGCCCTGTCTAACACAAATATAACGCATGCCACGTATATAATCTTTAATTTTTCTTTTTAATCTTCACCTGAGGATATTTTTTCCATTTATTATTTTTTTACATTTTTATTGATTTTTTTACAAATAGGAAGAGAGAGGGATAGAGAGTTAGAAACATGGATGAGAGAGAATCATCGACCAGCCGCCTCCTGCACACCCCCTACCGGAGATGTGCCCACAACCAAGGTACATGGTTCTGACCAGAATCGAATCTGGGACCCTTCAGTCCGCAGACCGACGCTCTAGCCACTGAGCCAAACTGGTTTCGGCTTCCATTTATTTTTTTAGAGAGAGTGGAAAGGAAGGAGAAAGGGGAGAGGAGAGAGAGAGAGAGGGAGGGAGAGAGAAACATCAATGTGAGAGAGACACATCAATTGGTTGCCCTCTGCACATGCTCCAACCAGAGATCAAACCTGCAACCAAGGCACGTGCCCCTGACCGGAAACCGCACTCATGACCCTTTGGCCCATGGCCGGCACTAACCACTGAGCAGCCGGCAGGGCTGTAATTTTTAATTTCTTGGTAGCTACATTGAAAAAGGTAAAAAGTAACAGGATGAAATTAATTTTAATCTGTTGAACACAAAAGTTTGTAATTGCAAAATGTAATCAGTGTAAAAGGTTATTAAGGGACATTTTACATTCTGTTTTTCACTCAAAGTGTTTGAGATCTGATGTGCATTTTACATTTCCAGGACGTCTCAGTCTGCACTAGGCCACACTGCAGTGCTCAGCAGCCGAGGGTGGCTGGTGGCTGCTGGGGCAGACAGCGCAGGTGGAGGCCCTTGTAAGACCTTACCAGCCACTAGTGTCAGCTCTCCTGTTGTCCTTTCAGTGTCACACTTGTCACCCCTGTGGGTGCACATGTCTCCGCTCCCTGTGCATCTGAAGATATCTGGGCCTTCAGAGAGGGGGTGGGGACCAGTCTCGAGCTCCCACTGCCCCTGCTCGGGGCTTCCTGAGTGGGTTTGGACGGGAGCCCTAGCCCCATCTTGTCTCCTGCCTTCTGCACCTCACCGCCCCGCCCTCCAGGAACCAGGCCACTGTCCCTTGCCGTCCCTGCAGGTGACCAGCATGGACCTGTGGCCGGGGGCATGGACCGTGCTGCTGCTGCTCTTCCTGCTGCTGCTCTTCCTGCTGCCCACGCTGTGGTTCTGCAGCCCCAGTGCCAAGTACTTCTTCAAGATGGCCTTCTACAACGGCTGGATCCTCTTCCTGGCCGTGCTCGCCATCCCCGTGTGCGCCGTGCGAGGACGCAACGTCGAGAACATGAAGTGAGGCCGGGGTGCTGGGTGTGAGGGAACTAAGGGTCGGAGGCGAGCAGTGCGTGGGGAGGACGTGGGTGTGCAGGAGAGCCAAAGAGTCCGGGGACAGGAGGGGCAGGATTGCAAAGATGTCGGGAGAGGGGAGCCGGGGCGTGCAGGTGGACGCCAGTGGACCCCCTGGGACCGCCTGCCTTGACACCCCTAGGATCTTGCGTCTGATGCTGCTCCACATCAAGTACCTGTACGGGATCCGAGTGGAGGTCCGAGGGGCTCACCACTTCCCTCCCTCCCAGCCCTACGTCGTGGTCTCCAACCACCAGAGCTCCCTCGACCTGCTTGGTGAGCCCCTCCTGGAACTCCCCTCCCCGCCCGCCATCCCTTCCTCTCCCGGAGCTTCCCTCCCGCCATCCCTTCCTCTCCCCGAGCTTCCCTCCCGCCATCCCTTCCTCTCCCGGAGCTTCCCTCCCGCCATCCCTTCCTCTCCCCCGGAGCTCTCTCCCGTAGCTTCCCCAGAATCCCCTCGGACGTGCTCACCTGCCTCAGCGGGGACGTGGCTGTCTTTCCCACATAAGCAGGGTGCAGGGCCTTTCGTCACCCTTCCCTCCATTGGGTGTCCCTGGCCCTGCCGCCGTCGCCCTCCCTTATCCCCGGGCCTTGGTAGCACAGCGATGGGCTGGGTGCAGTGGCCGCCTCCGCCTGACGCTCCCCTCACCCGCCCAGGGATGATGGAGGTACTACCCGGCCGCTGTGTGCCCATCGCCAAGCGGGAGCTGCTGTGGGCTGGCTCTGCCGGGCTGGCCTGCTGGCTGGCCGGCGTCATCTTCATCGACCGGAAGCGCACCGGGGACGCCATCAGCGTCATGTCTGAGGTGGCCCAGACCCTGCTCACCCAGGACGTGAGTCACGTGGGGGCGGGCGGGCGTGTGGGGAACAGCCGTAAATAGCGGACGGGCGGGCTCAGGGAGCCGCACCACGTGGCCGCCCTCCACAGACCGTCTTCCCCCAGGTGCGGGTCTGGGTTTTCCCCGAGGGCACGAGAAACCACAACGGCTCCATGCTGCCCTTCAAGCGCGGCGCCTTCCACCTCGCAGTGCAGGCCCAGGTGACGACTGCCCCCTCTGCGGAGCCCCGCCCGCCACCCCTTCCTCCCGCGGAGCCGTGGGCCTCCGAGGGGAGCCCGGCTGACGGCCTTTCCCTCCCCAGGTCCCCATCGTCCCCATCGTCATGTCCTCCTACCAAGACTTCTACTGCAAAAAGGAGCGCCGCTTCACGTCGGGTGAGGCTCTGAGCAGACTGGGGGGGGACCCGAAAGGTCACGGAGAGGCTAGAGGGATGTGTGTGTGCGTGTGTGTGTGTGTGTGTGTGTGTGCGCGCGCCCCACTCCGGGCAGGACCGTGCGTGTCCACCGATCACTGCCAGGAAGTATTTGAAGCGCCACCACAGGCGTTGGTTACTGTGGGCAGGAGAGAGAAGGCCTGTGTGCGGGCTGCGCAATCGGCAGTGGGTGCTACACCCAGACAGAGGGGTGGAAGGGTGGAGTCAGGCTGGGGTTTGGGGAAGGCCGTGCGGGAGGGAGGCCTCGGGAACAGGCGCGCCCGGAGAAGAGCCCTAAAAGGTTGAGGAGAAGGGCAGCAGGAGAGCGCAGAAATGGCCCACCCGCGGGCAGAGGCCAGGGACAGGCCTGACTGCCCCTCCCTCCCCTCCCAGGGCGATGTCAGGTCCGGGTGCTGCCCCCAGTGCCCACCGAAGGGCTGACACCAGATGACGTCCCAGCTCTGGCCGACAGGGTCCGGCATTCCATGCTCACCATTTTCCGGGAAATCTCCACCGATGGCAGGGGTGGTGGCGACTATCTGAAGAAACCCGGAGTCGGCGAGGCCCGGCTCTGAGTCCCCTCCGCCCCACACCTGCCAGCCAGTGGGTTCGGAAGCAGGATCAAGCCCTCTTCCTCGTCCCCCCGCCCTGCTCCGTCTCCTCCTGGGAGTCTTCAGCTTCGGAAGCGAATGTCGGCCCCTGCCCAGCTCCCCGTGGACTCTCTTGCCTCGGTGCAGCCTCCACTCTGACCCCGCCTCCTGGCCATGAGTCCTGGGACAGCTGCCCCCCTCCAGTGCTCACCTCACACAGCGGGAGCACTCCATCCTGCCGGGTGGACCTCCTTCTCTGGTCCCCCGCCCCCGACATTGGCCAGTGGACTCTTCCATTCCGTGGAAGTCCCCCACCTCCACGCCCGTGGATTCCGTGGACTCGTTGTCTGTGAGGAGGACTCCATGCTGTGCCTGGAACACCTCCGGCTCCTGGGACACTCCTCAGCGACTTGCCCCTGCCTCCGCAGCGACTCCGCCGGTGGGCTGGACTCCTCACCCCAAGGTCTCATTCCTGCCCGCCCGGTGCCCAGGACCGAGCACACTCCTGGGTGCCAGTTTGGTCTTCACATTTCTGCTTCCCCTGTTCCCGTGCCGGCCCTCTACCCCCCTCCCCCCAGCCCTGGCACATTCTGAAGAGACGGGAGTGGCTGCAGGCCGCCCCGGGCTCCGGGCTCCGGGGCTGGGGAAGCCCTGGCCCTGCTGGAGTGGAGGGGAGGGCTCTTAATTTATTTCTCTTTCTTTGGAGGTTTCCCCTTTGAGCCAGTTTTCATTTCCTCCCTGTGGCATTACCTCCCCGCCTCCCATCCCAGACCTGCCTACAACAGGGAGGGGCTGGGAGCAAAGGAGGGGGGGACTCCGTTTTTCATGTTGGTTTTTATTATCTGGAAAACAGCAAGAAACCAAGAATAAAGATTGAGCGAGATCTGGACGCTAGCTGCCTTGGTTGAGTTGAAGGTCCCCACTCGGAGGGAGTCCCAGACTCGGTCCTTGGCGGCAGGTGGCCTTGTCCGCAGCGCCCCAGCTGGGAGCCGCAGAGGATGTGTCCGGCTTCCGTGTAAATCGGGCCGGCTCTGCAGAGGGTCCTCACGGCCGCCCCTTGAGGCCTGGGCTCAGGCTGTTGTCCTCGCAGGAGCCTGGTTAGCGACAGGAGACAGCGGCTGTGGGTCCGCGGAGACAGCGGGAAGGGACGGGGCGGGCGGGGGGACAGAGGACTCACAGGCGCCCAGCCTCTCCTCCAGCAGCAGCACCTGGTCGCTGAGGGAGTCTATCCTGTCGCCCCGGCCCCACAGCTCTGCCACCTGCTCCGGCCGCAGGTCTTCGGGTGGCGCCGGCAGCACGGCTCGGACCCAGGCCCCGGCCTGCCCAGCCCACTGCAAAGGAGAGCCCGGGGCTTGGGGTGGGCGCGCCCAGCTCCACGGGCTCTGCCGGGGCCCTGGCGGGGCCCTGGCTCACCTGCTCCAGCTGCTCCAGGCGCCCACGCAGCTCCAGGATCTCTCGCCTCAGGGCGCGTTCCTCCCGCTCCTCCCGCTCCGCTTCCCGGACTGGCACGAAGGAGAGCGTGACCGGAGCCCCGCAGCCGGTGCCCCCCGCCCCACCCCCGCTATCTTCCCTCCCCGCCCCCCTTCACCCGCCCCCATCCCCCCTCCCCGCACCCTGTGCCCCCACTCCTCCCCCCCTCCCCACACCATGTGCCCCCATACCCCCCTCCCCCACCCCCATCCCCCCTCTCCGCACCCTGTGTCCCCACTCCTCCCCCCCTCCCCGCACCCTGTGCCCCCCTCCCCCCCCCCCCGCCCCCATCCCCCCTCCCCGCCCCCTGTGCCCCCACTCCTCCCCCCCTCCCCGCACCCTGTGCCCCCCTCCCCCCTCCCCCACCCCCATCCCCCCTCTCCGCACCCTGTGTCCCCACTCCTCCCCCCCTCCCCGCACCCTGTGCCCCCCTCCCCCCTCATCCGCCCCCATGCCCCCCTCCCCGCACCCTGTGCCCCCATGCCCCCCTCCCCGCACCCTGTGCCCCCATCCCCCCTCCCCGCACCCTGTGCCCCCATCCCCCCTCCCCGCACCCTGTGCCCCCATCCCCCCTCCCCGCACCCTGTGCCCCCATACCCCCTCCCCGCACCCTGTGCCCCCATACCCCCTCACCCGCCACGCTGAGGACGCTGGCGCTGGTCGGCGGCTCCGGGGGCCCCTCTAGGCAGGTGCGCCCGTCGGGGCCCAGCACCAGGCCGCGGGGGCAGCCGCAGGCGAAGCTGCCCGCCGTGTTTAGGCAGCGGTGCGAGCAGAGGGCGACGCCGGCCCTGCATTCATCCACGTCTAGCACGGAAAGGGGGGCGGGGGCTGAGGGGACTGGGGGGGGGGGGGCTGGGAGGGCCGGGCGCCCCGGAGGGGGGCTGGGAGGGGGCGGCGATCCGACTCACCCACGTGGCAGTGCCTCCCGCCCCAGCCGGGGGCGCACTCGCACCGGTCGGGCCGCACGCAGGCGCCGCCGTTCAGGCAGGGCTTAGCGCAGATGGCTGCGGGCAGGAAGGGCTTTGGCTCGGCTCCCTGCCCCCCCCCCCCCCGGGCGCACCCCCGCCCCGGGGCCCAGGAGGGAGCTCACCTTCCTCGCAGGCGAGCGCCCCCGGATGCCGCTTCCTCCATCCCTGGCAGCACACGGCGTGCGTCTGCCGCACCTCCCTCCGCACCTCCCGCCACGCCGCGCGGTACGTGGTCCTGGAGCACAGGGCGCGGTCGGAGCCGGCCTGCCGGTCTGTCCTGCGGGTGCGTGGGGCCCAGCTCCCGCCCTCACCTGTAGGTGCTGCAGACGCGCCTCCCGGGGCACAGGGTCAGGTAGGGCTTGTGCACGGGCTGGCTGTAGGACTCGTTGTAGCGGAGCGGGACCACCAGCGTCTGCTTGGAGCACACCCCCGGGCTGCACCGTGTGCGGGGGAGGCGGGCGCTGAGCGGGCCAGGCCCCCGGCCCAGCCCTCCCTCCAGCTGACAGCCTCACCCCCATTCCAAACTTCGCTGGCCCCTGTGCCCCCACCCAGGTCTCCTGAACCTCTCACCCGCCCCCCCCCCGTTGTCACCTCTCTCTGAGGGATCCACCCTTGGACCCTTCGCCTGTCACCAGGAGGAGGAGGAGGGAGAGTCCGCTTAGGAGAGAGCACCGCTCAGCCCGGGACCCCATGCTGCTCCTGACTCCAGACTGCCGCCTGCAGGAAGGAGAGGTGAAGGCCGGCCTGCCCGCCCGCTCCCTGCTCCGGCGCCCGCCCTCCCCAGCCACCGCGGGCTCTGGAAGTGAGGGTGACAGCACGTTCATTCGTGTTCGCTTGCACCCGTCACCAGGATGCCGGCTCGGGGGCGTGTACCTAGCAGCACCCTTCCATTAGCACCAGCCGGGCTCCCACCGGCCACCTCCCTCCCCTCACACTCTGCCCTCCATGACCCTCTGACCTCCAACATGCCCTCTCCGCCTCATCGTCCTCCTTCAAAACCTTAGGTACTCCCCACGAGACCCTCCCTCCTTCCACACAAACCCCACACCGTCACACACACCCCTCACCAGACAGCACCCCAACTCACACTCACTCAGGCCCTGAATGACCCCCACTTTCCCCATCGACATCCCTTGCCCACCTGCCTTTCCTCTCTCTGGGAGAGTCAGGCCCACCAGCCTCAGCAGCAGCGGCTCGACTGGTGGGCAGGCTGGGCTGCAGAGAGGAGGGGCCGGGCCACAGAGCCCTCCCAACCCCACCCCCTCCCACTGGCTCCCCCTGGAGCTCCAGCTTGGTGTGCTCATGGGGTCCAAGTCTCACCACTTTCCCCACCCGGCAAAGGGCCCCGAGAAGTATCTTCCCAACTTCCTGAGGCCCCTTCTCTCTGGACCCCCCGAATCAGCAGAGGCCACTTGCTGTGTAACACTACAGTACCCTGGTCCCAGCCTCCCCCTTAAGGCCAACACTGACCGGGAGACCTGGGGGGGCAGGGAATGAGTGGCAGAGAACACATGGGGTCAGGTCATGGGAGAAGAGGCAAGATCAGCTGAGGAAAGAAGGGAAGTCATCACAGAGGGGCAGGGGGCAACCCGGGGCACAAGGGGAAAACTGACCCCATTTCTCGATGACATTTGTCGGGGCCTGGGAGGGGGCACAGTTGAGTCAGCCGCCGCCCCCTCTGCGGGGGCAGACAGGGCCCTATTGTCTCCACCAAAATTCCTCCCTTCAGGGAAGAGGCGGCTCTTTGTCCGGCCCTCCCCCCTCTGGTCTGCAAAGGTTAGAAAGGGGCTCAGGGAATGCTCACCCTGACCCTTACCCCCTGGGCTGGCCTGGGGCGGCCAGGACATTCCACCCAGAAGCTGGGGCACAAGCCACTGGGGCCCTGGGCTCAGCCCCCCAACCTCAGGCTGGGACAGGAAGAGAATTGTCCTCAGCAGGAAAGAACCCACAGAGAATCAGGAACCCACACAGAATGGGCATTGAGAGAGCGGAAACACCAGGGGTCCCACCCCAGACCCGGCATCCGGGCACCCAGGCCTCGGCTCTCCATTCCCACCCTTTTGGGGGAGCCGGGTCCCCCTCACCTGGAAAAAAGCCAAGCCACACTGAGGAAAGGGAACTTTATTTCCATAAATACAAGGTAACACCCACTGGAGGGTAGCTAACGGAGGGGCTGGGGCCTCAGAGAAAGGAGGCTCCCAGGAAGTACCCCAACACTGAACATAGGGACTGGGGGATCCCCAAACCTGAGATGGGCCTCGCAGGCCACAGATATTCCCCAACATTGACACTTCAAGAACGGAACTGCACCCAGAGGGCAGGCGTGGCCCCGCTCCCATGGGCAGTCCTTCCCGGGGGAGGGCGGCGTGGGGAGTTCAGCGGGAACAGAGTAACACTGTCCGGAGCAGCCTGGGAGGAGGCCCTGTGTGGGCGGGCTGGGCCCTCCTGTGCAGCCAGAGATGGAGGAGCAGCCGCAGTTCAAAGCTGGTTTCTCACTTCCCAACCTCAGCCTTGGAGGATGGGAGAGCATGGAGCCACCCCCAAATGAAGACACGAGGTGGGGGAGCCCAGGGTTTGTCATTCACAGAGCAGAGGGGGCTCGGGAGCCTGGCCGTGGGGCCGTGTGCAAGTGACGACATGGCAACAGGCGCAACAGAGCCTGGCGCTGCCTCCCAAGGCCCGCTTCGGGCCCCGGCCCCGGGCTCGCCCTCAGGAGAGCCAGGGCTCGATGCAGGTCACGTAAAGGGTGTGGTTGGAGTGCCAGGCCGTGTGGGCAATCCCGGCCATGGGACACCTCACTATGGCCCCCCGGGCCCAGAGAGTCTTCAGTCCAAAAGAATCCCGAAGATAAACCTTTGCGGGGTAAGGGGCGTGGGAGAAAGACACAGGGAGATAGCGTGAGTTCCTGCTGAGGCCCAGCCCCTTCCCAGGGTGGAGCCCCGAGCTCAGGACTCAGCAGTGGGGGGGCTGGAGACAGCTGGGATGGGCGTGAAGAAATCCAGGGACTCACCAGTTGTTCCTCCATCTCCAAGACCGTCTCATTTGCGTCATAGAAGCCAAAGAAGCTACAAAGAGATGGGGGGCCGTTATCAGGAGAGCTGGAGAAAATCAAGGTGGATAGGATCCTTTCAGAACTCACAGCCTGTTGGGGAGACAGGCAGCAGGGAGAACACTCAAAATATTTAGCGGGACATCATGCACCCCATGAGGTGACGCACGGCAGGCAGGGCATCACTTCACTGAATTCCCAAACTGAGGGACAGTCTACAATAGGGGTGTCGAACTCAATCAGAGAAGGGGCCAAAATCTAAAATCCAGTCTAAATCGCGGGCCGAATGGTTTACTGAACAGTCATAAACTGTCATTGTGATGGAAACGCAGCGGAGTGCAGTGATGACAGCGCGGTGCGGGCCACATTGCAAGGCCTGGCGGGACGGATTTGGCCCGCGGGCCTTGTGTTTGACACATGTGGTCTACAACATAGATGGTGCATACACTTCGGACAAGAGGACTTGGGTAGCATTCAGGATTAAGAGAAACTAGAAAGACATGAAAACTAACACACGATCCTGGGTTTGATCTTGCACTGGAATTTGTTTTTCCCTAAAAAGACAGCCCAGCCAGCGTGGCTCAGTGGTTTGAGTGTCGACCTATGAACCAGGAGATCACGGTTCAATTCCCAATCAGGGCATGTGCTCAAGCCTGGGAGGGCCCAGCTCAACCCACAATGTGGGGCAGCTGCTCAATGATTCTTGCTTCATCATTGATGTTTCTATTTCTCCCTCTCCCTTCATCTCTGAAACCAATAAATAAATAAAAAAAAAAAAAAAAAAAAAAGACAATCAGAGCCAGGCCAGAGTAGCTCAGTGGTTGAGTATCAATTCATGAACCAAGAGGTCACCAGCTCAATCCCCAGTAGGGGGTGTGCAAGAGGCAGCCGGGGGATATTTCTCTCTCATCGATTTTTCTCTCTCCCTCTCCTTTTCTCTAAAGTATCAATAGAAAGATTTTTTTAAAAATATATATTTTATTGATTTTTTTTACAGAGAGGAAAAGAGAGGGATAGAGAGTTAGAAACATCGATGAGAGAGAAATATCGATCAGCTGCCTCCTGCATGCCCCCTAGTTGGGTATGTGTCCGCTACCAACGTACATGCCCTTGACCGGAATCAAACCTGGGACCCTTCAGTCCATAGGCTGATGCTTTATCCATTGAACCAAACGGGTTAAGGCTAGAGACTTTTTTAAAAAGATAATTAGAAAAATTTGAATAAAGTCTATAGAGTACCATATCAATGTTAATTTCCTGATTTTGACAATTGTATTGCAGAGATATTAAAAAATGCCCTGTATATAGGAAATATGCACTCATATATTCAAGTTTTAGGGATAATGAGATGTCTTCAACCTACTAACGGCTCACACACACCCAGCAGGGGGCGTGTGTGAGGCAGCGACCAATGATTCTCATCACTGATGCATCTGCCTCTCTCCCTTTCCTTTCCTCTCTGAAATATGTTTATAAACACTAGGTGATTGCTTTTTGCTACTTTGGTAACTTCTTAAGTATGAGATTGTTTCAAAATAAAAAGATTGAGCCTTAGTTGGCTTGCCTCAGTGGATAGAACATCTGCCTGCGGACTGAAATGTCCTGGGTTCAATTCTGATTAAGGGCACATACCCAGGTTGGGAGCTCAATCCTCAGTAGGGGGTGTGCAGGCGGCAGATAATCAATGATTCTCTCTCATCATTGATGTTTCTATCTCTCCCTCTCCCTTCCTCTCTGAAATCAATAAAAATATATATTTTAAAAAATTGTTTAAAGGTCTGAACATGTTTTTTCACTAAGAATATATAACTTGCCGAAGCCGGTTTGGCTCAGTGGATAGAGTGTCGGCCTGCAGACTGGGAGGTCCCTGGTTCAATTTTGGTCAGGAGCATGTACCTTGGTTGCCGGCACATCCCCAGTGGGGGGTGTGCAAGAGGCAGCTGATCAATGTTTCTTTCTCATCAATGTTTCTAGCTCTCTCTCTCTCCCTTCCTCTCTGTAAAATATCAATAAAATATATTTAAAAAAATAAACTGCCATTTAAGAAGAAAAAAAAAAAAGAATATATAACTGGCCCTGACCGGTTTGGCTCAGTGGATAGAGCGTTGGCCTGCAAACTCAAGGGTCCTGGGTCCAATTCTGGTCAAGTGCATGTAGCTTGGTTGCCAGCACATCCCCAGTAGTGAGACTGCAGGAGGCAGCTGATAGATGTTTCTCTCTCATCGATGTTTCTATCTCTCTATCTATCCCTCTCCCTTCCTCTCTGTAATCAATAAAGTCAATAAAATATACTTTAAAAAAAGAATATATAACTGGCACGAGATTCGAGTGGATGCTGGCAGTGAATAACTGAATGCTAGTAAGAGTTAAGTCCAAGGGGCCACAGGAGCAAAGACAAAAGCCACTGCCTTAGTGTAGAGCAGGGTGGGGACCCTTTTTTCTGCCGAGGGCCATTTGGATTTATAACGTGCTTCGATGGCCATACCAAATGACCGACTTAAACATCAGCCTGCTGTGTTTGGTCAAACATTTCATTACCCACCCCTAATGCTTTGGCAAGGCCAGACCAAACAATTTCCAGGGCCTTATCGGGCCTGCCCATTTCAGAGCACCTGGCTTAGAGCATCAACAAAGGCTTCCGGCGAGGGCCCTGGACCAGGGAGGGCCGCGGCAGGCCAATGGGATGCAAGAGCAGGGGCGCGGAGGGGAGGCGCAGCGGGTGCGGGAGCTGGGCTGAGGCCTGGAGGCCTGGGGAGAAGCTGGGTGTCACCCGCTGGGAGAGCAGCAGGGCACATAGACCTGGACCTGCTTTCCAGCTCTGCCACACTCCCCACTGTGTGCGGCTGGGCACGCTCCTTCCCCGTGTCCTAGGGGACCAACACCCCCTTGGCAGCGAGGAAGGAGAGCGTGTGGCTAACAGAGAGAGCCTGAGTCACCCCTTACTAACGCTATGAACGGAAGCAAGGAATTCCATCTCTTTGCACTCAAGTCTCCTAAAAGGTCATTTTGAGGATCAAACGAGCTTTATTTAAAGGTGCTACGTAACTGCGAGCTATTACTATCTTTATAGGGTTGTAGACCTGAAATGAAATGTAAATAAATCCCGTCTCTTACTATTATCATAAGGGCTGCTACTCCTTCACTCAAAACCCTCAATGTCTTCCCATTTTCCTCAGAATATACCGTCAAGGGTCGTGGCTGCCGGGGCTGGGGCGGCTGGGCTGAGGGGCTCGTGTGAATGGATATGGAATTTCAGTTTGGGAAGAAAACAGTCCTGGAGATGGATGGGGACGGTCACACAGTATGTGAGTGTACTTCATGCCACTGAGTGTGCGTTTAGCAATGGCCCTGGCTGTGTGACTGCTGGTTCGAGTGTCCTCAGGTTCAATTCCAGGCAGGGTACATACCCAGATTTTGGGTTCGAGCCCTGGTCGGTGCACATATAGAGGCAACAGATCTCTTTCTCTCTCTCCCCCACCCCCCTCTCTCTCTCAGCAACAGACTGATGTTTCACCCACTCTTTCTCTCTCTCTCTCTGTAAAAATAAATACATTTTAAAAATGGCAAGTTTTATTTTGTGTATAATTTTAAAAAAAAAGTCAAGGGTCTTATTTTGCCCTACAAAGGCTCAACATAACGGCTCTCTGCTACCTCTTTCAGCCTCCTCTCCCACTCTCTCCCCAGCTCCCTTGCTCACGGGCCCCAGGGTCCATGCAGGTGCGGAACCTGTCCCTGGCCTACTCCCCCACACTGCTCCAGCCCCCCCTGACTTCCTTCCGCTCAGCCTCAGCCTCAGCCTCAGTGCAAAGGGCAACTCTCCCAGGGGCTGCTCTGGCCACCCCTAAAGCAGGCTCTGTCCTGACAGCCGCTCCCCTGCCTCCCTTCACTCCCATTTGACAGACAGACAGACATCGTTATCTGTCTCCCCTCTGGAAGGAAAGCTGCACCACACAGAGACCTCACTGCCGGCTGACTCCCGGGCCCAGAGCGGCTCTGAGGGACTGCGAGGGCCCTGCCGCTCAGCTCACTCAGGACTCCGGAGGGCGGCTCGCAGGGGGCGCCATGGAGACCTGGCTTTCCCAGAGCGACAGGCAGGAGGGGTGAGGAGGAGCGATCACAGCGGACCGGGAAAGGAAAGAGGCGATAGGAAGTGGATTAAATGGCATGGAGTGTCTACACACATTGTGCCAACATCAAGTTCCTGGTTTTTGACGCTGTACTGCCGTTACATAAGATGCAGACACTGGGGGAACTGGGTGAAGGTACACAGGGCCTCTCTAAACCATCTTTGCAATTTCCTATGAATCTACAACTATTTCAACATTAGAAGTTTTTTATAAAACTATGGGAGGCAGGGACGGAGAGGAAACAGCATCAGCAGGATGAGGTGACTGGTAGCTACAAGGGGCTGGGGGAGGACTCCCAGGTGTGGATCTCGGGGGGCAGGCGGTCACTGAGCGTGGAACCAGCGTTAGGGAGCGGCGAAGGTTGAGGGGGATTAGGGTGTCCTTAGTGAATCCCGAGGCCACACAGCCGTTACCTGGACTGCCAAGGGGTAATGACGCCATCATCGGGGCCTCCGATCAGCACCATGCGGCCCACCCGGAGGAAGTTCTTCCGCCAGGCTGCGGGGGGGAGAAGAGAGCGTCAGTGCGGGCCGGCCGGCGGGAGAGGGGGCACAGCGGGCAGAAAGGCAGACGGCGACACCGAGTGGAAGCCCGGGGCCTCACCAGTGGCGTTGGGATGGTCTCTCTCCCCGTTGATCAGGGCCAGGAAGCTGCTGGCATTGAGGTACAGGTCATCGTGGTGAGGATCTGCGTACAAATGGCATTTAGAAAGACGGTCAGGGAGCAGGGGAGCAGGCAGGCGCGGACACTGGGAGAGCAACCAGGAGGCTCCAGGAACTGACAGTGAACAGGAATGCAACGCAGCAGCAGTAATGATTGTGAACATGACAGCAAACCCCTTCACCCAGCTCTGCGAGCCAGAAACTGTCCAAAGCGTTTCACACTCATTAACTTGTTTAATGTTTACAGCCCCCTATGAGGCAGGTACTAATTTATTCTTTTACAGAGGAGGACGCTGAGTCGCGGGAAGGTTGAGGAACGCCCAAGTGGCCCAGCAGGCTCAGACTGCAAACGCAGTGGCCTGGACCCAGCAGCCATGGTCTTGCAAAGCTCCTGAGGCTTCTGCCCAGGCCCACTGCTTGTGCTGGAAAGGAAGCTGCACTGAACAGACATGCGGCTGCTCGCACACCGCGTGCCAGAGCGGAGGAGTGGCGACAGGGACTGTACGGCCTACAAAACGAAAAGCATTTGCTCTCTGTGCTTTAAAGAAAAGGCGTGCTGACCTCTGCAGCACAGGGCGCGCTCTGAGACCTTGGCTGATACACATAAAGCATGCTGTGCCCCATGAGTGTGAGTTATCACTACTGTCCTTGCTACTGGCTCTGGCAGAGGCCTAGCCTCCAGGGTCCCCCATGGAGGTCCGGTTAGCCCCCTACTCACCATGCCAGTAGTTGCATATGGAGAACTCCTGCCCCCAGGGGCTGTAGCAGATCCGGTAGAGGTTAGACCTCATGGAGGTAGGGAACAGCCACTTCAGGTAGTCCGTGTCTGGCGAGAGAGCAGCAGCGCCAAGTAGATCCAAACCCCTGTGCCCCCAGCTCCGGGCCCCGCATGCAGCCCACAGCCCCACTCACCTCCGTACTGCCCCATCTGCGGGGAGGACAGCGAGATGAAGGAGTCCACGTTGTGGTCATCCATGACGGACAGCAGTGCCCGGCACACCAGGCCGCCTGTGGGCAGGCCACACGTGGGCAGGGGTTCGGGACGGCCAGGCCAGCAGTCTCCGCGCTGCCTCCCCCACCCCAATGTACACGAGGAAGGCCAGGCCCCGACAGCACAGACACGTAAGTGCAGGGCCAAGAGCCGGACTCCGATTCGGGGCCTTCTGACGCTAACTCTGGGTGTTTTTGCCGCCCGCCCCCCTCACTACCACTTAGGCCCGAGAACTGTGGGTACTGGGGACGGAGGACACACAGAGGTGAGACCAGGGGCTGAGGGAAGTCAGAAAAGCGGGGCACAGGCACCAGGGCCCTGCTGGACAGTGTGGTTCAGAAAAGGGGACCTAGGAAGTGCCCCTCAGATTAGGATCAAGCTTCAGAGAGTGCTTAGGGTGGGGGGCACCTACCCTGTGAGTAGCAGATGAGATGCACCCCTTGAGGGGCCTTTGCCATGATGGGGGCCACAGCCTCTCGGAACCCTTGCACCTGTTCCCACAGGGGCCGCAAGCTCTCTCTCCCATCGAAGAGATCCAGCACGGTCACCTCGGTCCCGGGGTGTGTCTGTGGGAAGGGGCGATGCTGCAACTGGCGGTGAACTGCGAAGCCCTCCACTCCACCCGGCTGCGCCAATGCCTGCCGTGCCCTGCTAGAGCCGGGGTCCCCCACCCCACCCCCCGGGACCGGGCAGCCGGAGGGGCGGCTTTCAGGCCCGCCCTTCCGCCCCAGCCTCCGCGGCGGCCCGCAGACCTGGTTGATGTAGCCCAGCAGGTGGCGGAAGCTGTAGGAGCTGTCAAACAGCCCGTGCACCACGATGACCGGCTTGTAGGGCGCGCGCGGCGGCGCGGGGGCCGCGGGCAGCAGCAGCAGCGGCAGGAGGGGCACGGCCAGCAGGAGCCCCGCGGGCGGCCGCGGCCCCGCCATCTCCCCCCTGAGCGGGACGGGCTCCTGAGCCCACAGCCGGCCCCGGCAGACCACGCGGTCAGCCGCTCCCGGCCCCAACAGCAACTTCAACTCACCGTCCTCCCCCGCACCCCGCCGTCCTCCCCCCGCACCCCCGCCGCGCAGGCGCAGCACCTGCGCGAGCCCCGCCCCCGCCCGGGGCCCGGGGACGTCCCCGCCGCGCGGCCCCCGCCCCGCCCCGCCCGCCGCTTCGCAGGCGGGACCCGAGCGGCAGCGGTGCCCGGAGGCGCACCCGCCCGCTCCGGGCCGCCCGCCGCTCACTCCTCCCGGGGCTGGGAGCCGGGGGGGGGGGGGGGGGGCGCCCGGAGTGACGGGGGGCGGGGGGGGCTGCTCGGGGTCGCGCTCAGCCGTCATTTCCGGGGCTTTCCCTGGCAACCGTGCCAGCGTCCCCGGCAACGCAGGCGGCCCGGGAGGGGCCGTGGAACTTTCCATCGCGCGCTGGGAGCGGGGGAGGACCGGGCGGGCGCCCGCGCTGCCGGCGGGGAGAGCCGCAGCGGCCCCGCGACTGGAGGCCCGCGCCCCGGCGCCGCCCGGTCCGGCCCCGGGAGCCCGCGTTCCCCCCGGGAGCGGCGGCCCCGCTTCGCCGCCGCCTGCCGAGGCTGCAGCCCGCCCGCCCGCCCGCCCGCCCGCCGCCGCCCTCACCGCTCTTGGCGGTGAAGTGCGTGTAGTCTGCCTTGTCTCAGACCGCGGAGAGTCCTCCTGGCCCCTCGAGCGGAGATGGAGAGCCGAGAGCGGCTGGCGTTTCTCCGGCCCTGCTCCGCGGTCCCATGGAGGATCCACCCCCAAGGGTGGAGGGCTCCGAGGCGGCTCTGACTCACGCCTGTTAGCGCGGTTTCCACCAGACTCTCAACCGGAGCGACCCCCACAGTCTGCCCTCAGCGGGGGGCTCCTGGGCGGGACCCCCACAGTCTGCCCTCAGCGGGGGGCTCCTGGGCGGGACCCCCACAGTCTGCCCCTTTGCTGGGGGCTCCTGGGCGGGACCCCCACAGTCTGCCCTCAGCGGGGGGCTCCTGGGCGGGACCCCCACAGTCTGCCCTCAGCTGGGGGCTCCTGGGCGGGACCCCCACAGTCTGCCCTCAGCGGGGGGCTCCTGGGCGGGACCCCCACAGTCTGCCCTCAGCGGGGGGCTCCTGGGCGGGACCCCCACAGTCTGGCCCTTAGCTGGGGGCTCCTGGGGCGGGACCCCCACAGTCTGCCCCTTTGCTGGGGGCTCCTGGGCGGGACCCCCACAGTCTGCCCTCAGCGGGGGGCTCCTGGGCGGGACCCCCACAGTCTGCCCTCAGCTGGGGGCTCCTGGGCGGGACCCCCACAGTCTGCCCTCAGCTGGGGGCTCCTGGGCGGGACCCCCACAGTCTGCCCTCAGGGGGGGGGGGGGGGAGCTCCTGGGCGGGACCCCCACAGTCTGGCCCTTAGCTGGGAGCTCCTGGGGCGCTCCCCACCCAGACCCCCCCCTCCCTCCAGGCCAGACCAAGCCCCAGCCGTCCCTACCTCTCCATCTGTGGCGCTTACCCAACACCCATGAAGAAGTTAATGAAAAACGAACTCGCTATGGCCAAGCTGCTAAGCTGCTCATGGTAAGCAGGTTGAGGTATGAAGGAGTGATTCTATTCTTGCTTTAACTTAAACTTTGGAACTCTCCAGTCCTACACCAATGCCTGCATGTACCTCAGACCTTCAGACAACTGAAAACCACTGACATCCGGACCGCCTGGCATCCAGTGTGAAGACGAGGGTCACCCAGAGCAGTGGTCGGCAAACTCATCAGTCCACAGAACCAAATACAACAGCACGACGACTGAGATTTCTTTTGAGAGCCAAATTTTTTAAACTTAAACTTCTCCTAATGCCACTTCTTCAAAATAGACTCACCCAGGCCGTGGTATTTTGTGGAAGAGCCACACTCAAGGGGCCAAAGAGCCGCATGTGGCTCGCGAGCCTTGGTTTGCTGACAACAGGCCTAGAGGATTACCCATCCAGAGGCTGAGAATGAACTGATTCTTCTGAAAAATGTACCCTATGAGCTTTTCTTTCTTCTCAGAAACACTCCAAGTAGTGCCTAACTGTGTTACCAGGTTGCCAACCCTAAGATCCTTGGATAAATCTTTGCCATTTATTTCTGTCAAAGCCTCCAGACACTTCTGAGTTCTTGGACAACAGGAGCCCCATTAGGGCTTTACTTAGCATTTAAAGGTGTTTCCCCGCCAAAACCAGTTTGGCTCAATGGATAGAGCGTCAGCCTGTGAACTGAAAGGTCCCAGGTTTGATTCCGGTCAAGGGCATGTACCTTGGTTGTGGGCACATCCCCAGTAGGGGGTGTGCAAGAGGCAGCTGATCGATGATTCTCTCTCATCGATGCTTCTAACTCTCTATCCCTAACCATTCCTCTCTGAAATAAATAAATAAATAAATAAATAAATAAATAAATAAATAGTTTCCCTTCAGAAAGGAACGCCCCAGGTTATCTGAACCCCTCCCTGTCACAGGGTCTTTGCCGGTCTGAAGCAGTTCCCAGTCACCAGCGTGAGCCTTGAGCTGGGCAGAATGAGGGTGAGGTGGTGGTACAGGTTGGGGTCACACAAACGCCATAGAAACCGGAATGAGGAGCCGTGATTCAAATCTCCGCAGCCTGAGGCCCAGCTGCAGGTCTCCGTCCAGCTGGCTCTGTGGTCTGTTCAGACATGAAGGGGGAGGACACTGCCCAGGAGAGGGATCTGTCTTGGCGGGGGAGGGGGCGTTAGGAAATGGATCTGAACGCTGGCAGGCCCAGGATCTCTAAGAAGCCCGTTCACAAAGGGAGGAAAGGGGGAAGGGGGTCGAGTCCATCTTCCCAAACCAGCGGCCAGAAATGAGCAGCCCCTTCACCACTCCCTCCCAGAGTGCTTCAGCTCCTTGGCTGGGGAGGGAGTATCAGTGCACCCCCCAAGCTCCCCTCCGTCCAGCCCCCTCCCCATGGGGGGGGGGGTTTCTCCCAGCTGTTACAGACGGGGCCTCCCACTGGACTTCCCGTTCCCCAGGCCTGGGTGGAGGGTGGAGGCTATAACCCTGGGAACGTTCCAGGCCATCACAGGCCTCAACTCTGCATACACCTTCCTCAGGCACAGCTCTGTCTCCTGAAGTGAGGGGCTAGGGGCAAGGATTTGAGAGAAGAGTATGGGACCTGGGAGGGGGTGGGGGGGAGTGCCCTCTGCGGAAGGAGAGGCCGCACTGGAGTGAGGCAGATCTGCAGGAGCTGGTATCAGTCTGTGGAGCGCCCACTCAATTCCTCCCACAGCTGATCACTACAGCCCTCTCAGAGGGGCAGGCTCCAGAGCGTTCTCTCTCCCTCCTGCCTTTCCTTAGTCCCACCCACTTTGCCTGGTCTTGCTTGCCTCCTTGTTTCCATGACAACTCCAAGGGAGCCCAAACTGGGGGCTTGAATGCTGGGGTGAGAGGAGGAGAGACGAGTGGGGGGTACATCTGAAGAGCTCCCCCAACCCCGCCTCGGTCCCTTTAAGCTCTCCCCCCTCCCAGTTCTCCCTCTGCCCCCCTCCACCACCCTCCGAGGCTGTCTTCTCTCCATCTCTTGCGCTGCCGGCTGCGCCATCCCTGCACCCCGGCTCCCGCTCCACTTGGAGACCCCCGACTCCAGCCACAGAGACCCTGACCCAGACAGAGACTGCAAGCATGTCATCAGAAAAGTCAGGTGAGGATCCACAGCAAAACCTCCCACTCCCGGCACCGTCTCCTGCCCCGTCCCCTCCCCCTCCCTCTGCTCCAACCCCCTCCCTGCCTCCTCCGAGCAGGTTCTATCCAGCTCAGCCGCCCCTAAACCCACTCCTCGTCCTTGGCTTCCTTCCCGCTCCCGTCCCAGCAGGTCCCTGCCAGGGGGGCAGCAGGGTAGGCTGAAGCAGGAGGGAGGCGGAGAGGGCAGCCTCAGCCAGGTGCTGCAGGGAGTGACAGATGGCCCGGCGGCGCGGGGACATCATGGAGACACATGGCGGGGGGCGGCACGGAGACACGCCAGCTGCGGGTGCTGGGGTGAAGTCCAGCAGCCCCTCGGGCTCAGCCCTGAAGAAGCGCTGAGATTCCGGAGGCTGGCGCCCCTCCCCCTAGGGGATGGCGGGTGGGCCTGTCAGCCCGCGTGGCTCGCCCGGTGTTGGACGGACACATGTTAAAGCATGTTGCATGTCCACATGACATGTGCACACGCAGGACTGGCTCAGAGGGGCAGGCCCCGGCGGCCCGGCCCCGCAGCCGCTGTGGACGCGGCGGCGCCGCGCAGTGAGGAGCGGAGAGTTGTGGCCTCAAAACTAGACAGAGAAACAGAAGTGGGGGGGGGGGGGGGGCAGTGGCCTAGATACAAGCCCTCTCCTGCTCCAAAGTGAGATGCTTCTCACCTTCTCCTGTCTCTCCCACTGCCCTCCTCCATCCATCCCGGGCCCTCTGTCTCCCAACCTCCCCATCTCGCTCTCACCGCCCCCGGACCCCGGACCCCGGACCCCCGGATCCCGGACCCCGGACCCTGGACCCCCGGAACCTGGACCCCGGACTCCGGACCCCTGGATCCCGGACCCCTGGACCCCGGACCCCTGAAACCCTGGACCCCTGAAACCCTGGACCGTCGCCTCGGCTCGCCCCCCAGGCCTCCCGGACTCCGTCCCGCACACCTCGCCGCCGCCCTACAACGCCCCGCAGCCGCCCGCCGAGCCCCCCGCGCCCCCGCCGGCGGCCCCCGCGCACCACCACCACCACCACCACTACCACCAGTCGGGCACCGCCACCCTCCCGCGCCTGGGGGCCGGCGGCCTGGCGGCTTCCGGGGCCTCGGCGGCGCGCGGGCCCTCGTTCTCCGCCACCCTGCCGCGGCCCCCGCACCACGCGCCGCCCGGCCCGGCCCCCGGGGCGCCCCCGCCCGGCTGTGCCACCTTGCCCCGCATGCCGCCCGACCCCTACCTGCAGGAGACCCGCTTCGAGGGCCCGCTGCCCCCGCCGCCGCCCGCCGCAGCCGCCCCGCCGCCGCCCGCGCCCCCGCACGCCGCCCAGGCCCCCGGCTTCGTGGTGCCCACGCACCCCGGGGCGGTGGGCACGCTGCCGCTGGGGGGCTACGTGGCCCCCGGGTACCCCCTGCAGCTGCAGCCCTGCACCGCCTACGTGCCGGTCTACCCCGTGGGCGCGGTGAGTGCGGGCGGGGGGGGGGGGAGGGGGAAGGAAACCCGGCCAGGGGACCCGGCGGCCTGGGGAAGGCCTGGGGGCGGGGGGAGCAGGAGGAGGAGGGGAAGGCCTGGGGGCGGGGTTCTGGCGGTCAGTGAGGTCAGAGGCCACGGCCTGGGAGGGTGCGGGGCAGGAACCTGGGACTGAGGAGTGGGGCGGCCAGGTAGGCTTCTGGAGAGAAGAAACAAGGTTTGAAGCGAGGCGGGCAGCGCCGGAGGCGGGGGGGGGGGGGGGGGGGGGGGGAGGGGGAGAGAACCCCGAGGATGTGGGGTTACCCCAGGAGGCGGGTCAGTGGCAGCACAGGGGCCTAGGCGGGCTGTAGGCTGTTCTGGAGCAACGTGCAGACTGCGCTTCAAACGCGCTTCCCCCGAGCGGGACGGGGGGGGGGGGGACCGGTGCGGGACGGGGTGGGGGGGACCGGAGCGGGACGGGGGGGGGGACCGGAGTGGGTCCGCGTGACGCCCCCCCCTTCCACAGCCCTACGCCGGGGGGACCGGGGGCGCGGGAGTGGCCTCCACGCTGCCCACGCCGCCGCAGGGCCCGGGGCTGGCCCTGCTGGAGCCCAGGCGCCCGCCGCACGACTACATGCCCATCGCCGTGCTGACCACCATCTGCTGCTTCTGGCCCACCGGCATCATCGCCATCTTCAAGGCGGTGCAGGTGCGTGCGGGCGCCGGAGCGGGGCTCCCCGGCTCCTCATCCCCGGGCGCCGCTCAGAGCGGGGCTGGGGCGGCGGGGCGGGGGGAGGGCTGGGGGGCTGCGGGGCCGCTCCTGACCTCCCCGCCCCGCAGGTGCGCACGGCGCTGGCGCGCGGAGACATGGTGTCGGCCGAGATCGCGTCGCGCGAGGCGCGCAACTTCTCCTTCATCTCGCTGGCGGTGGGCATCGCGGCCATGGTGCTCTGCACCATCCTCACTGTGGTCATCATCATCGCCGCGCAGCACCACGAGAACTACTGGGACCCGTGAGGGCGCCGGCCCGCCGCCCTGCGCCCGCCGCGGCCCCGGGCGCCCCGCACACCCATCCCCGGGGCTGCCGGCCTGCGGTGCGCCCTGCACTGGGCCCCCCGCCGAGGCCCTCGCGGGGCGGGCGCGCTCCGAACCCCGTTCCTCAGGAACCTCGCCGGAGCCCACACTCGCAGGGACGCGGCTTCCCGGGCCCCAGCCCCACACCGGCCCAGGCGTCCCGGCTCCCGCCCCACCAAGCAGCCCCGGGAAGCTGCCGAGCGCCCATCGCGGAGCCGGACCGAGTCCGCAAACCCTCCTCCGCCAGAGGCCCCGCCCGGCCCAAGACCCGCTCCAGGTGGCAGGCTCCGCCTTCTCTCCCTCGGGGTGCTCGGCGGTGGGTTTGGGGCGCCAGGCCTCGCCCAGACCCACGGACTCCGGTTCTCCGGTTGAGGACCCGCCAAGGCGTAGCCACGGCCACGCGCGCTCCCGCTTCTCGTCTCCCACACCGCGTGCCCACCGCGTATCTGGCCAACCCCAGAACCTCTGTTTTGTTTTGTTTGTTTCTTGGGGTGAAGCTCGGGGGCGCCCAGTCTAGGGCCTTCGCGCTGGAGGGAGATCCGGGCGGGTCCCTGTAAATACTCCCTGGGCGCCCGGGAGGGAGCCGGGCTGGGCCGGCCAGTGCGGGAGCGCCGCTCGCCCCGCCGCCCCGCCTGTGCCCATGTGTGCGTGTGCGTGTGAATTTCCGAAAGCCGACATTAAAGAGGCTAATGGACGTATTCCCCGAATCCGGTGGTGCAGCCAAGCAAAGACCCTGTCTGTTGGTCCCCCTTTCATCTCTTCCCACTTCCCCTTGGGGTGTGGTGGAGGAAGGAGAGCGACAGGTCTCTCTCTCTCTCTCTCTCTCTCTCTCTCTCTCTCTCTCTCTCTCTCTCTCTCACACACACACACACACACACACACACACACACACACGCAGCGGGGAGGGTCCCTGGGATCCTGCCAGGAAAAATCTTGGGGTCCATTTTCCGAAGGATTTCTTTCCGCAGCTCATCTTTTCCCCTCGCTCCCCCGCTGGGCTTCAGGCCCCGGAGCGGGAGGAGGTACAGGGAGACCACGGGGTTTCTCCCCAGAAAGGCAGGCGGGAAGAAGAAGGCAGACCATTCTGAAGAAGTCGGTGGGAGACAGGGTGGCGGGCGGAGAGGGGGCAGGCTGTTTGAATCGGAGCCCTCAGTGTGTGCTGTGCCAGTGCAGGGCAGGCATGGGGAAAGGGCTGCAGAAACCTGTCTCAGGCCGTTCCAGCAGTTCTCAATGCCCGAGGCCCAGGCCCGCGGCTCACAAACAGCAGAATGTATCGCTCAGGGTCCCGGAGGCTGAAGTCAGATCAGAGCGCCCAGGAGAGGTGAGGGCGCTCTGTGACCTGCAGACTCCCCATTGCACACTCAAGTGGCAGAAGGGGCGAGGGTGCCCATTCACCAAGGCTCCACCCGCAGGGCCTAGTCTCCCCCCAAAGACCCCTCTCTGCACATTAGGGTTTTAGCATGAAGTTTGCACGGAACATATTCCGGATACAGCAGGGCCCCGGGAGGAGGGGAGGAGCCTCACACCCAAGTGGGCTCTTGGTCCTAGCCTACCCTGAGGCCAGCCAGGGGCCTCTTGGGGAGGAGGGAGGGGCACAAGCCGTGGGCGTGGCCTCTCCAGCTGGACAGCGGCAGAACACGATCCTCCCTGACTCCTGCCCCATACAGCATGCAGATACCACGCAGGGTGCGGGTGAGACTTTTGCCCAGACAGCAGGTGAGAACGCTGACCTCATGCGATTCACCCGGAAGGAAAGCCATGCGCAGGATAAGAGGTTTGGGGGGAGGGAGTGGAAATCACGGGGAACATTTTTTTAGACATTTCAGGTTGAATGTGCCTTCCTCGTCAAACTTCTTTTTTAAAAAAATTGTAATTGATTATTTTAGAGAGAGAGGAAGGGAGAGGGAGAGAAACATTGATGTTAGAGGGAAGCATCGATTGGTTGTGTCCTGCACGCCAACCGGCAGCCTGGGTACCTGCCCTGGCCAGGGGTCTAGCCGATGACCCTTCGGCGCACCTGCGCGGGTGGACTCTGAGCCAGCTGAGCCAGCTGAGCCCTCTGGCCAGGCCTCACCAAACTTCTTGAAAAAAGAATTCACATTTGCAACCCCCACTTCCTTACCACTTACTCATTTTTACCCCTTGCCGCCTGAAAAGGAGAACATTGTTTTCACAGATGTGTCTCTGTCTGTCTTTCCTCCACACCCACTGTTCTTAACCCTTTCAAATCTGCTCCCACTCCCTACGCTACAGAAACTGCTCTCTCAAATAGTACTCACGACCAGAAATTACCAGGAGCCAAGATCGGTGGCGTTTTCCGGAATCCTCCCACGCTTGTTTCTTGACCTTGGAGTCCTCACTCACCCAGGCAGCGTTCAGGGACGTTATCTCTCCCCCTTTACCTCCATACACACCTCCAATCATCTTCCTCCCACTGTTTTTCCTCCTCCCTTCCCCTAGGAGCCTGCTCTGGATTTCCTCCCTTAGTTGGGTCCTCCCCTTGAAAAATCTCATCCACTCCAAACTCACACATCATTTTCTTTTCTTTTTTTCCAAATTATAAGAGAAAGTTTATTTAGAAAGTCAGACTCGTGGAAGAAATGGGCTCAGGGGAAGGGAAAGGTGTGGGTGTGCTGCCCAAAGGAAGAGCTGCCCAGAGATAATTCCTAATGCTTCTCGGCTATAGACTGAATGTTTGTGTCCCCCCCAAATTCACGCTGAAACTGGATCCCCAGCGTGCTGGTGGGGCCTTTGGGGGTGCTTAGGTCAGGAGGACGGACTGTTATGAGTGGGGGTGACTACAAGAAACTACAGAGAGCTCCCTTGCCCCTCCCACCAAGTAAGGGCAAAGTTGGAAGCCAGCTGTATCCGAACCAGAGTGTCTCAGCAGACACTGGATCTGGGCGCCTTGATCGTAGACTCTCCAGCCTCCAGAACTGAGAGAAATAAATGTCTTGTTTATAAGCCATCTGGCTGTGCCTTTTGTTACAGCAGCCGGAGTTGGTTAAGATATTATCAACCTCTATGTTTATAGGCACACACTCTTCCGTGGCCCGCGGAGCCTCCACAGGGACCACGCTGCTGGTCCTCGAAACCCAGCGTGTTCCAAACCAAATAGACAAAATGCCCCTGAGCCTGCTTCCCTGTTACTTCCCCTATTACCGCCACCGTCTTCCCAGCCCCCTTATCTGAAAACGTGATGCTATTAGAGGACAGCTCCCTGAGTCAGACGGGGAGGGCTGTCCCCTCCTTGGCTCTTGTCAGTCTCATAAGATTTCAGATGAGCAATAGCAGCATTATAGCAAAGCAAGCGGATTTATTAAAAAATACACTCAGCATATAGCGTAAGTGGCACCCAGCTAGTCTGACTGCCCAGCCTGGTGGAAATTTAAGGGTTTTATATTTTTCTGTCTACAGGTTTAAAGCTTCCTCTGCAGATATCTCAGGCAACAGACTAATTTTTAAAGTCCTCCTTTTCCTTTGCTGTGGCTTTTTCTGGAATTTATGATGATATCTGGCAATTTTATCTGGGCAAGTGGACTGCTGACTTCTTTGTTCACTGGGTGAGATAAAACTCTCCCTCTTTCCCCCTACCCCCTTTCCTATATTCTCTGCTTAGTCGGAGAGATATAAACCATTTGCTCTCAGGTGTCCTGGGTTAGGGAAAATAAGGCCGTGACTCACAAGTTAGCTGCAAGCTGCCCAAACTGGTTGGCTTTGTTTCATTTTCTCGTCTCAGTTTTCCCTTCCACTTGCCCAGGAATTGTCCTGGCTCCTTACCATGCTGCCGCATTCCCTGCTCAGGGACTTCCATTGCTAAAGTCTTTTAGGGCCATATCCCTGGCCGCGTAGGGTGCGGCAGTCTCTCACTGCCTGAGCTAAGGGAGGCCAGGGAATGGGATCTGAGACTGGAACACAGAGGCCATTGGCTGATTCTTCACAAGGGAGGTGGGCTGGAATTTTTTTTTTTAATTTCTTTTTTTATAGAGAGGAAGGGAGAAAGTTAGAAACATCGATGAGAGAGAAACATCAATCAGCTGCCTCCTGCATCCCCCCCCCCCCCACTGAGGATGTGCCCGCAACCAAGGTACATGCCCTTGACCGGAATCGAACTTGGGACCTTTCAATCCTCTGGCCGAAGCTCTATCAACTGAGCCAGCTGGGCTGGAATTCTTGAAGTGTCATCATCTTCACATGAAATTGCTATTTTCTGAAAGTGACAAACTTGACAATAAGGTTAGTGGAGGGAAGTCAATTAGATTAAAGCCTAGTCATGGCATTTCTTATCTGTAACAGGCTTTTGTTTCTTGAAGAGGAGCTTGAGGTTCACAAGAGGAGGTCTCAGGTTGAGGCTCCTATGGGGACTCACAGGAAATAGATTACACAAGGTAAGTGCCCCCCACCCCCACCCCTGGTATCCCTGGGAGCTTCCCTAGAGCTGGGGTGCTTACTAGGGCTGATGTGCCCTTCCATCTGGGATACAGTTGGGACTCAGGGCAGTTGTTTCCTCCTGCCTCCCCCTGGCCCCCTGCTTTAGCTTGTTGGTAGTCTTTATCGGGGGCAGGTAGGATTTTGTTTCCATACACCTGAAATGCTTTCTGAACTGTCCTAGATTAATGGTGTAAGATAACAGAATATACATAATTTCTTTGTAATTGGACAATCAATGGGTCTGTGCTGTCTGTCACTACTTGAGCCAATTCAGCAGAGACAGGATTGAATCAAACATGAGTGTTTATTCCAATACTGCCAGCAGCAGGGGAGAGCAGCAGGTCACCCACAAAAACCTGCTCTGCAGCCCATAAGCCAGATGCTTATATAGGGTAAAACAAAGATTGCATGGGGAAGTGGGGATTGCAGACATGGGGGAGTAGGCTATGCAGGCTGGGTGGGCCCCAGTGTTTGGGCAACAAGGTTGTTAATCTTTCACGATGATAGTCAGTTCTTGAATGAGAATGGACCGCATTCAAAGATTGACTCCAGGTCCATGCCCCACCTGGTTTGGCTCAGTGGATACAGCATAGGCCTGAGGACTGAAGGGTCCCAGGTTCGATTCCAGTCAAGGGCACATGCCTGGGTTGCAGGCTCAATCCTCAGTGTAGGGCATGCAGGAAGCAGCCAATCAATGATTCTCTCTCATCATTGATGTTTCCATCTCTCTCTCTCCCCCTCTTCCTCTCTGAAATAAAAAATATATATATTTTTTAAAAACAAAATATATATGCTGCTGTAAAAAAGAAGGAATTCTTACCATCTGCAGCAGCATGGATGGAACTGGAGAGCATTATGCTAAGTGAAATAAGCCAGTCAGAGAAAGATAAATATCACATGATCTCACTCATTTGTGGACTATAATGAACAACATAAAGTGATGAACAAAAACAGATCCAGAGTCAGAAAAGCATCAATCAGATGGTCAAACCTCAGAGGGAAGGTAGGGGAGGGTGGGGGTAAAGGGGAGAGAGCAACCAAAGGACTTGTATGCATGCATATAAGCCTAACCAATGGACACAGACAACAGGGGAGTGAGGGCATGAGAGGGGGGAAGAGTAATGGGGGGGAGGGGGTAAGGACACATATGTATCAATAAAGAAAAAAAAAAGATTGATTCCCAGGTCCAAGGTTGACTCCCAGGCCCA